GAAGTCACCTCCGATGTAGTCTCTAGGTATGGGCTTCCCCTCAAAGGAGACAGAAATCCTCAGGGAAACAGCAGTTTCCTCTCAGCAGAATGTGCCTGACCCTGAAGCATGTCTCCAGACCAAAAAAAATTTTAAAAAAAACTTAAAAAGCAGCTATTGAGTCTTCAAGAGTCCCAGGAAAGGTTCAGATGCCACCACAAGAAAGCTCATTTTGAGTCATTAGGAGAAATCTTTTTTAAAATTTGTGGATCATGATCTTTAAAAAGTGCTAAAACATATGAGCTCATGATTATGTGAAGCTAACAAAACCCCCCTTGGACAACTGAGGATTCTGGGTAAATGACTCATTATTTTTTTTAAGACTATGTAGGGAACGAATCAAACATTGATCTTGCCTTTGTGATATGGGCCGAACTTCAGGATAACCAAAGCATTGGTTGTGGAACAAATTGTAGCCGTGTTCCGGCTAATAAATGAAGAAGGAAAGTTAGAATTACATTTGCCGGACCCCTAATGAAACACTGATCATGAGTAACTGCTAACATCAGGAAACATAGACAGATGGGCCCTGTCTCCTGATTCCCACCACTGCTGATGCAGCACCATCCCTCGAGGGGTCTGTTCCTGCAAAAAAAAGCAAGATGTGGATGGGATCGACTTCTGGGCAGTGAGGGTGTGCGTCTGAAGCAGGCAGGCAGGCGGTAAGGGCCTCTGGCTCTGCAGACCTACAGTTTCTGTCTATTGTCTGTCCCCCGACTGACTGCCTGTAAAACCAAGTGAGACCTGGAGATCTGGGCCCGGAGCTGAAGTTTTCAGACCCTCCTGTTGACAGATGGCCTCTTTACAGGAAGTCCAGACGACAAAGAAGCTTGTTAAGGGGCATCCTGGAGTGCAATTTAGCAAAATGGAGATGGCAGGAAAGTCCACGAGACAAGTAACCGGCTCCTTCATCCAAAAAAAAAAAAATTGACAAGCCAAGAGCGAAGAAAAGAAAGAGGCCACAGAGCTAGGACAGAGGGGACAGCGCTGGCCTTGCACACAGCTGACTTAGATCTGATCTCTGACACCCCGCCTTGGGCACTGCCAGGAATGATTCCTGAGCAGATCCAGAAGGGAGCCCTGAGTCCTGCCAGGTGTGGCCCCAAAACTAAACCAAAAACCCAACGCAAAGTCCAGTTTGGGAATTTTCTCCACTCGGTAAAGATTTGGAGTGAGGGAAGTTGCAAGTATGAGAGGAAGAGAAGTCCACGTCGAGGGCCAGGTGGAGCTTCTTACAGTCCCACGTCATCTCCCTGTGATGTTCCAGACTTGGAGCGGTGTTTACTGTGGTGAAAATACTGTTCCGGAAGTAAAAACTGTTTAGCTAGGTCTCTGACCTTCCATGCTGAGGCTCCGCAATTACAGTGTGGACATCCTTTTGGGGGGTGGGGGCGAGAAGGGAGGACCTCCCAAACAGTGCTTGGCAATCTCAGAGTTCCCACAGGCAAATCTCAGCCAACTTAGTGGGGAGTTCATGTGAGGGCCCAAGGATGTAGTGTGTTTGAGCCCCATGGTGCCTGGAATTCCCCAGACCAGTGCTTGGGGACCACCCAGGCTATCCATGGTGATGCACAGGGCACCATTGGGGGCCTGGTATCGAACCCCTGCTGGACATGCCCCCTCACTGCTGTACCATTCCCTCTTCAAACTATTCATAGGGTTTCCCTATTCTTCAAGGGACTTCAAAGCCTGACCACTCCAACGATCAAGACTGGACTGACTTCCGGTTTGGATACGAGTGTGTTTCAGTGCTGGGAATTTTATAAGCTGTAAGTGATGGATTGGTCAGACACACTTTCCTGGCTACTGAATTTTAGAGAGAAGGGGAAGCCAGGTGAAATGGATCGGTTAGCAGCCAGCAAACTGAGGCCAAGAGGAAGTCATGCCCAGAACAGCCTTCTCAACTTCACTCGGGTCTACACACATGGATGTTTTCCCCAAATCTCCCAAACACAGGACCCCAAGACACACTATAGGAGTGTGGCAGCCTTCCTCCCACACTCCAGAATGAGGCTGACATTCCTAACGCCGTTCAGAAGTCGCACTCAGTTCCTGATGGCTCAGTTCTCTACTGAGCAAAGGGACGCTTCCCTATCGGGTGGATTCGGAAGCTCCCCAGTGCCTAATGGTTCAGGGAAACTCAGGGGATTGTCTGAGCCCATCTGAGGGGCCAGCATGAACAGGGGCTGTGCTGGCCACAGGACACCAGTAAGGAGCTGCATCTCCAGGTCGCTCGCCTGTCTGGGATCCAGACAGAATGTCTTGATTGTTCCTGTACAGTGAAGCTCTGCAGAAATGGAAGGCTCCAAATTGCTCACTGCACAATATAGGAGAACTCTTCAGATTGCCCTGAATGAGGGCCTCTGAGCTGCATCAGACACCTAGGGTGGAGGGGATGTGGGCCAGGAGAAGGGAATCAGCCTGTGTCCCAGTTGACGTTTCTGTTCTTGCAAAATGTTGGCTGCCTACCCCAAGGCCCAGAACCAGATAGTCAGGGTCTTGGTCACACCTGATAAATGCCATGTTGGAGCAAGGAAGATTCATCAAGGTGGCAGGTGATCGATCCTATCAGACCTAACAGCCTCCCCGCATGTCCCCAGGTTCTTTCAAGCATTGGCTATAACCTGGGCTGGGTACGAGAGCATAGAAAGGAGAGAGGAGAATTTCCCAACAACTTCCGGTGCCTCCATGTCTTTCTGGGGCACACACGCTTCACAAGAGAGATAGTGCAGGGGGTAAGTGCTTGCTGGAGATTGAGTCTACCCCAGCTCAATCTCCAACATCCACATGCATACAGTCCCCTGAGCAATCCCAGAGCACAGAGCCATGAGTGATTCCTGAGCACAGCTGGCTTTGGCTCCAAAGCAACAACAACAAAAAAAAAAAACAATAAAACCCTCTTATTCTATCTGCCAAGACTCCCGGCCTCCCACTCTAGAAGTAAGAGACTGAAGGATGGCTTTTCCTTCTCGGCAAACTTGAGCTTAGCTGCCACTCGCGTCCCCGAGGGAGGAACTGAATTAGCCACCTGACAAATTCCCCTTTCCTGTCCCCAGCCGCTGCTTCCAAGTTAGGAGGTGCTGGAAGTCTTGGCTTTTCCATCCACACATGGCAGCTCCCCCGCCGCTTAACTGTCAGCACCAAGGGATGCTCAAGCAACGGTGATCAAAGATGTGGGCGCATTTCCCACGCCGCTCTGTCACGGCGAGTCAGCCTGCGTGCTGGGCGGTCGCCACCACTGGTGACTACCCACTGCTCTGCCCCACGGTGACTGTCAGCGTGTCCCTTCGATTTGAGTTAGCAGTGACTTCTCTTTGAGGATGTAAAAGCGGCTGCTTGGCGCTGAGAGGATGCAGTGATGCAATTTGTGGCCACCTGGATGGATCTGGTGCATTTCATGCTGGGTGAAGCCAGCCAGGAGGACAGGGACAGACACCGAATCATCCTCTCTCCTGGGACAGAAAGAGATGGCGTCAGGGAGTAACCAATGCCCCAAGGCAGTAGAACTTAAAACTCATCAATGGGGGCTGGAGCGATAGCACAGCGGGTAGCGCGTTTGCCTTGCACGCGGCCGACCCGGGTTCGATTCCCAGCATCCCATATGGTCCCCTGTGCACTGCCAGGGGTAATTCCTGAGCGCAGATCCAGGAGTGATCACCGTGCATTGCCGGGTGTAACCCAAAAAGCAAAAAAAAAAAAATCGATGGAATTGAGGGGATGGCGGGGAGCCGGGGGAAGGAGGTTGGGGGCTTGCTGGAGCAGAGGTGGAGGGTGGGTGCTGAAACAGTAATGTACACGGTAGGACACGAAACCTTACCCCTGTAAATCACCATGATGCCTACAGTCATTTTTTATGTAATATACTTGTAGTTGGGCTGGAGCGATAGCACAGTGGGTAGGGCATTTGCCTTGCACATGGCCAACCTGGGTTCGATTCCTCTGCCCCTCTCGGAGAGCCTGGCAAGCTACTGAGAGTATCCATCCCACCCGCATGGCAGAGCCTGGCAAGCTCCCCGTGGCATATTCGATATGCCACAAACAGTCACAACAAGTCTCACAAAGGAGACGTTTCTAGTGCCCGCTTGAGCAAATTGATGAACAATGGGAGGACAGTGCTACTTGTAGTTGGGAAAAAAAAAAAAAGAGGTGAGGCCCATCTAGTTCAAAGATCGTCATAGCATCCCCTCCGAATCGAATATCTGGGTTCTGATATTTCACCTGGATCTGCTAGCTAGCTCTAGGAATAAAATTCTGGAGCTTGCCCGGATTCTGTAGGTCTTCAGGAAACGTGCTTCTTCTTGCTCCCTACCTACTGCCTCACCTCTTCTTCCTCCACATCCCTTCTACCAGTTCACTGTGTGTGTTCCTGCCCCGACCCTCTGCTCACCACCCTTCCCGCTGAACAGGACCCTGGGCAGAGGAGGCTACTCCCGGCACTCCTTGGCTCACGGCACTGCCCCCAATTTCCTGGTCTGGACCTCTTTCACGAAAACATGGTTGTTTAATCACTGATTCTGTGTTTCCCCTTAGAGTGTCAGTGCCCTCGAACAGGGGGTCACATCCTTTGCATGTGGTCCTGAGCCCACAGCTCAGATCAATGCTGACACTCAGTAGAAACTCGGTCAGTGAAAATAAATAAATAATAAGACATTGGGGGCCAGAGAGATAGTATACTGGGGAGGGCACTTGTCTTGCACGTGACGGACCTGGGCTCAATTCTCAGCGTCCCGTATGGTCCCTCGAGCATGGCCAGGAGTAATTCCTGAGTGTAGAGCCAGGGGTAACCCCCTGAGCATCGCTGGGTGTGGCCCAAAAAGCCCCAAAGCCCCCCCCCCCAAAAAAAAAACAGAAAATGAAAAAAAATTCAGTTAGCGCCAAGGTCTTGCTGGCCATTCTCCGTGGAGTACAAAGCAGAGCCCTCACCGTGTAGGTGACAACAGGATTCTCCGTCTCCTTTTCAGGTTGTCCTCGCAGCCAGGAACCATGGCGTGGCACCTGCCCTTCCTCCTGGTGGCCACAGTGACCCTGCCTTCCATCTGCGCCCACTTCAACCCCCTGTCCCTGGAGGAGCTGGGCTCCAACACGGGGATCCAGATCTTCAACCAGATCGTCAAGGCCCGGCCGCATGACAACATCGTGGTGTCACCCCATGGGATCGCGTCCGTCCTGGGGATGCTGCAGCTGGGAGCTGACGGCAGGACCAAGAAGCAGCTCACCTTGGTGATGAGATACAGCGTGAATGGTGCGTGCGTGTGAGCCGGGGGTTAAGGATCCCGGGGGAGGGGAGGGAAGCGAGGATCACGGGGGGTGGGGGGCTCCCTTCTGGCCCCCAGAAGCAAGAGCAGCCGGGAGGGTCTTCCTAAGCCAGCGGGGGCTGAGGGCTGGCTCCTCTCGGATGGGCACAGTGCTGGGAAGGCAGGACAGGCCACTGGTCCCAGTGGGACTCTGGGGCGCTCCCACACCCCCGGGTTTTCAACACAGCTAGAGACAAATGACAGCTTCCTGCCTGCCTCACCTCCCTCTGGGGCACCAGAGGCATCAGGCACCTGGGGTGTGGAATGTTCTCAGAAAGCCAGGGAGGCGGAGAGCCTGAAGTGTGAGCTCAGAGCACTCGTCCAGGTGGGGGACACGGGTACCACCAGGAGGTGGGAATGTGGACCCACTCGCACAAACACTCACGTTGTCACAGATAACCACACACACACACACACACACGCCCATACTCACTCTCACATACCCTCACATTCCTTCCACACACACACACTCACATCCCTTCACATAGGCTCACATACTCTTATACACACACATACACACTCTCACCCACATACCCACACACACTCACACCTCTACACACTCTCTCACGCACCCTCACATACCTCCCAAGCACTCACGTGCACACACACACTCTTGCACACTCTCACACACCCACATAAACACACACACACTCTCACATACCCTCACATATGCTCACATACCTCCCACATACTCATACACACACACACTCTCACCCACAAGCCCACCCACACTCACATACCTCCATGCACTCTCTCACATACCCTCAACATACCTCCCAAGCACTCGCGCGTGCACACACACTCTTGCACACTCTCACACACCCACATAAACACACACACTCTCACATACCTCCCACGCACTCACACACACTCGCATACTCTCACACCCACATACCCACACACTTGCACACACACTCTCGCAACTCACACACTCTCACACACATATACTCATGCACTCTCACTCTTACACACACAGACACACTCTTACACGCTCACAACAACGCACTCTCACACTTCCCCACCTACACACATCTACGCTCTGACTCAAGATTCTTACACTACACACCCACTCTCACATTCACACCCACTCTCATGTACTCACACACTCATACACACACTCACACACATAGGAACCCCCTAGTTGCCCCCCCGGCCAGTGAACCTCCTGAGCACAGGACTCGGAGGAAGCCTGGCAGGACCCAGCGTGCACCCCCAGAACGAAACAAAATGCAGAAGCCGGAATCCCACATGGTGGGATGATTTCCTGGGTGCCCCCGGGCCCCGCCAACTGGACCCACGGAAGAGCAGCTGAGATCCGGGTCGAGGCTTCTTGAGTTTAGCCACACCCAGGCCGAGCAACTTTTCACAAACGCTGAGTCCAGCTCCCTCGACCGCCTTCCCCTTCTGTTGGACGGGGACTTTGCGGCACCTGACTGGCCCCCCACAAAGGTCCCCATGCCCTAAAGCATCAGGAGACTGGTCAACGCTCCAGAGGACCCTCCAGCGCCCTCTGCTGGTGGGGGAGTGTGGGGTCACTTATACACCCCTTGGGAATCAGGAGGGCCTGGGATCCCGGCTCTCAGGGACCCCGGGGGATACCTTTCTTTTTTTGTGGGGGGTCACAACTGGTGATGCACAGGGGTTACTCCTGGCTCTGCACTCAGGAATTACTCCTGGCAGTGCTCAGGGGATCATATGGGATGCTGGGAATCTAACTCGAGTGCAAGGCAAACGCCCTACCCGCTGTGCTATCGCTTCAGCCCTGGCCGGGGGACACCTTTCATCCAGGTGCCTTATCTGCCTCCTCACCCTACTCCGGAGCCGAATGAGTGTTCATCACTATGAACAGTTCATGGTTGATAAAGCTCCGGTGGCCGTAAAATCAAATTCTTCGAGAAGGATGTCCGGGAAAATTTACACGGTTCCTGGATGGTGGCAAGTGACAGTTTCATTGTAGTTGTTGCTTTGTTTTGTTTGGGAGCCTATCTGAAGATGGTCAGGAGCTAATCCTGGGTGTGCACTCAGGAATCGCTCCTGGCAGTCAGGGGACCCTGGGTTGGCCGCATGAAAGGCCAGTGCCCCTGCCCACTGCACTACCTCTCTGGCCCCCAACGTGACAGCATCTTCTGATCTTTCTGATTTTCATTCATTCCCCCACACACACACCCCCAAAATGGAGACCATCCGTTTAAATTTCTGATAGGAAAAGAACTCATGTTTTGGCTAGTTGAGAAGGAAAGGGAGAAAGAGGTGGATATGGCGGCTTCCATAGGCCTGTTAGAGGCGGGAGGCACAACCGATTTTATTTCATTGATTGATTGATTGATTGACTTCATATTATTTATTTTTTTGCTCTGGGGGCCCTACCCAGCTCCATCCTCAGAAGAACCTCTGTCGGCCAGTGGCCTTTTTCTTGTTTGTTTGTTTTCCTTTTTTTTTTTTTTTTAGGGTCATACTCAGCGATGCACAGAGCTTACTCCTGGCTTTGCACTCAGGAATTACTCCTGGCAGTGCTCGGGGGATGCTGGGAATTGAACCAGGGTCGGCCACATGCAAGGCAAACGCCCTTTCTGCTATACTATTGCTCCAGCCCGGCCAGTGGCCTTAAGTTCAGCACCCGCTTCGTGGCACAATCGCCTTGAGAGGCTGTTAATTGTTAGAACGGCCTCCCTGACCCTTTCTCAGCCCAGACCCCAGAGAAACGGACGAGCCGCTGGGCCCCCGCCCGGCCTTTCTCCTGCTCTCTCTGCTTCGCGGAGCTGCTGGGAAATAGGGTTTTAGGGTCTTGGGGTGCAGTGGGTACATTCTGCCGTCTCCGCAGGCGTGGGGAAGCACCTGAAGAAGATCAACAAGGCCATCAGCTCCAAGAAGAACAAGGACATCGTGACGACAGCCAACGCCGTGTTTGTCCGTGACGGCTTCCGGATGCAGCCGCCCTTCGTGGCCCGCAACAAGGACGTGTTCCAGTGTGAGGTTCGCAACCTGGACTTTGGGAACCCGGCCGCTGCTTGCGACTCCGTCAACGCCTGGGTCAAGAATGAGACCAGGGGTGAGTGGCTGCCAGGGGGGCATCAGGGGAACGGTGGGCCAGGGTGTGACTCCTCAGGTCCCAGGCCGGCCAATCTGCTCTTCCTGTCCACACACCCCGGGGAGACTCTGCTCCCTGCAGAGGGTCCCCAAGTCCTCCCCCACCCTTCTTCCCTGGCTGGCTGTGGCCCCTAGTGGCCCCAGGGTCGCCTGGCTCTGGAGAGCTGCATTGCTCCTTGCGGTTTTGGCGTCTGCCATCTCTCGGCCTATGATGCCTGGTGGGACCCCCAGGGACACGTTTCTCTGTGCCATCCCCACCTCATGGCCTGTCCTGCTCCGTCTCATCGTGGGGACAGGATGGAGCCTGTCTCGCGTCCTCCCCCTCAAGACAGCACCTTCCATGTGGTCATATCGGCCTGACTAAACTGCAGAAATGCCCCCGAGGATGGCGCGAACTTGAACACGTTAGGTGGAGGGGTTTAGGATGAAAGGAAGTAGGAAGAGAAGGCTCAGAGGACGCTGACTTGGAGCCAGTTTCCAGGCAAGGAGGAGTTGGGGTCCTAAGAATAAAGGGAAACCCGTGCGTCTCAGAGAGGGGACAGGGCTAGGGCACTTGCCTTACAAGGGGCCGACCTGAGTTCCATTGTCAGAACCCTGCCAGGAGTGATCCCTGAGCACAAAGCCAGGAGTGAAATTGAGCCCTGCTGGGTGGGACCAAAATCAGATTTGAGATTCAGCTGACCGTAAGACAAAACGTGTGTGTGTGTGTGGGGGGGGGGGGGGGCATGGTAGAGGGGTGGAGTGATAGTCCAGCGAGCTGGACATTTGCCTTGCATGCAGCCAGTCCGGGTTCAATCCCCGGCATCCCATTTGGTCCCCCGAGCACCTGAGCCAGGAGTAATTCCTGAGTGCAAAGCCAGGAGGAACCCCTGAGCATCACTGGGTGTGGACCAAAAAAAACAAACAAAAAAGTGCTCTATTTTCATGCTCCATCCCCCATCCACCCACCCACTTGTCTCAGAACACACCAGAACTTAGCCTTAGGGTGCAGACAAGGGCCTCTCCCGGCCTGAGCCAGAATCCATTCACAGCCCATCAGCAGATTTTCAGGTACGAATGTCAGCAGTCCTTGGCAGCACCTGGGAAGGGGGCAGGGGAGGGGCAGTGATGCTGAGGGGTGTTTTGGGCCCCTCAGAGGCGTCCTTGTCAGCAGGATCCTCCCGGGATTCCCTTCCTTGACTCCACAAAACAAATAGGAAACCCGCCAGCAGCAGTGTGTCAGGTGCTTTTTCTAAGCCCATTAGAGACCTAAGACCCCGGGTTGGGAGCTGAGGGTCCCGAGATGTGTGTGGCCATGGCAGCCCCTCCCGGCCGTCTCGGTGCCCTCCAGGAAACCACATCAGCTCAACCGTGGGCAGCTGTAAAAGCATTTGGACACAGATGGAGTCTGGGCTTCTCGTATCCCATGCCAGGCGAGCAACCAACCCTCACACAAAGCGCCCAGGATGGCAGCGCCCCCTGGCAGTGGGACCCAATGCTCGTGGATTCCCAAGCACATGTCCACATGGTGCTTAAGGGAAACCCGAAATTCCCCGTACAGGGAGGTAGGTGACCCTGGACGTGCCTGACCATCAAACCGTCACAGAGCAGTCCAGTTGCAGACCCCTGGCAGGATCTGAAAGCTACCACATAGAGGCAATGTGGCCCCATGATGACATTAGCCGCATCCCCGTCAGGGGACACAGTTTCAGAGCTGGTGCAAAACTTTAGGTGTCAGGGCTGGAGTGATAGCACAGTGGGGAGGACGATTGTCTTGTACACGGCCAATCCGGGTTCGATTCCTAGCATCCCATATGGTCTTCCGACCACCGCCAGGAGTAATTCCTGAATGCATGAGCCAGGAGTAACCCCCGTGCATTGCTGGGTGTGACCCAAAAAGAAAAAAAAAAACAAAAAAACAAGAACTCCTGGTGTCTTTCCAGCCCACCTAAGCTCAAGCTATATCTGCATTTGATTCTTCACACCCCCTCCTCTCTCTCTCTCTCTCTCTCTCTCTCTCTCTCTCTCTCTCTCTCTCTCTCTTATTTTCTCATAACTCCTGTATAATTTTATCCTCACTTCCACCAGGGGCCGTCAGAGGGTTTATTTTTCAGCAGGAGGAGACCAGGGAGAATTCTTTAGACACTTACGACACCCTCTCTGCCGAGCGTGGAGCTGCCCGTGATTTAAACTCCAGCGACAGGTTCCTGGGTCCTTACCGTCAGTTCTGTAGGGGACAGATACATTATCCCGGGCTAGGATAAAGCACCCTGGGGCCTGCGGGGCGGCTCTGTGCTGGGCTTCGTGGAGCAGGAAAGATCCGTTTGGGCTGTAGGGAAGGAAGGAGGTGCCCGGGGAGCTGTGTGTCAGCCGCGGGCCTGGATAATGTTCCTAGCAAAGGCAAGACATGGTATTCATTAGGGGGGGCCCGCTCAGGAGCTGGCTGTCACCAGAACAGAGTCGTAACTCCCTTCCCACAGGTGGGGGCCCGATCCTGGGGATGCTGGTGGGACCTTCATTTTTTTTTTAATTTTTATTAGTGAAACACCATGAGGTACAGTTGTAGACTTACAAATTTTTGTGCTTGGGTTTCAATTATCAATGATCAAATACCCATCCCTCCACCAGTGCCCATTCCCCACCACCACGGATCCCAGTATCTCTCCCACCCCCCATCCCCCCCATCCCACCCTGCCTCTGTGGCAGGGCATTCCCCTTTGTTCTCTCTCTCCTTTTGGGTGTTGTGGTTTGCAAAAGAGGCAATGGGTGACAATCATGGCTTGGAGGCCAGCCACACATGCTAGGGTAAAAGGGAGCTCAGATAGAGAAAGGAGCACCAAAGAAAGGGTGTTGGGAGGATCCTCCCAGGATGGGAGAAGCATGCTGAAATTAGACCTTCATTCTTTATAGCTACAGTTGGTGGCTTGCAGGCTCTGATACAGGGCGACGCTGGCTCCCCCTTGTGGACGTAAGGAGCAGTAGGGAAACTGCTTTCTTGACTGTGGCTTATTTATTTATTGTTATTATTTATTTATTTATTTATTTATTACTGTGGCCTAGGGCTGGAGCCATAGCCCAGTGGGTAGGGCATTCGCCTTGCACGTAGCCAACCTGACTGACCCGGGTTCGATTCCTCCGCCCCTCTCAGAGCACCCGGCAAGCTACCAAGAGTATTCAGTATGCCAAAGACAGTAACAACAAGTCTCACAATGGAGACGTTACTGGGCCCGCTCAAGCAAATCGATGAACAACGGGAGGACAGTGACAGTGACAGTGACTGTGGCTTATTTAAATGGTGGTTCATGGTGAACGCCAGAATCTTTCATTAGCTTCATTTAAAAGGACTTGACGCGCCTTCTCATGAATTTAGACCATCAGAACACAGTGGTTTTTCTCTTACCACTTCAAGAATCCCACTTGCATTTATATCGCCTGTTACATTGTTTTTACATATACATGGGCCGAAAGCTTAATAGTTTTGCAGACTAGTGTGCTGTCTTGAACACTCACACATGCGCTCACATATATACACACCCACAGCTGACTCTTCACAGAACACACAAAAGAAGGCGAAATGGGAAAATAAAAAACTCCAAGACAGCACTTGATTTTTTTTTAAGTTTTTGGCCTTCTCCAGCAGTGCCCGGGGCTTACTCCTGGCTCTGTTCTCAGAGATCACTCCTGGATCAGCGCGGGGGACAGTCTGCACTGCTGGGACCCCCAACTCAGGCCAGCCGCGTGCAAAGCAAAACAAGACCTTACCTGTTCTGCTATTTCTCTGGTCTTTCTTTTGCCGGGAGAGCACGGCAAGCTAATAAGAGTATCTCGTCCACAGGGCAGATCCTGGCAAGCTTCCCTTGGCATATTTGACATGCCAAAAACAGTAACAACAAGTCTCACAATGGAGACGTTACTGGTCCCCGCTGGAGCAAATCGATGAACAACGGAAGGACAAAAGAAGTGCTTTCTTTTGCCACTTAAAGAATCCAACTTGCATTTAAATTGCATGTTACATCTTTTCTTTTCACACATATGTGGGCGAAAACCTTCATGAACTGAATTTAATAGTTTTGGGGACTAGAGATCCCTCTTGAACACTCAAGTTTTGGGGGGAGGTTTGGGCCATACCTTCTCATGCGCTCCTCCTGACTCTGCTCATGGGTGACTCTTGGTGATGCTCAGGGACCCTTCCAAGGATGGAGCTGGGTCATCCTCTTCTCTCCTGTGTTCTCTCCAACCCCAGAACCTGGCCCTAGAGCACAGGTGCTTCCAGGCTTAAAAGCATCTGAAACTCAGACTATCATGTTTTCTCCCTGACCCTGAGCTTTGACACAAAGGAGAGGGTGCACCGACATCCTGTCCAAGGCCCTTTTCTCTAAGAAAAACCTCTTTTCTTTCTTTTCTTTTCCCTCTTAGCCCTCTCCTGCTCTCTCTCTCTTTTTCATTCAAACCTGTCACTCCCATCCCAAGCCCCGCTTTTTTTTTTTTTAATTTTATTGAAGCACCGTGAGATAGTCACAAGCTTTCATGTTTAGGTTACAATCACACAATGATCAAACTCCCATTGTTCCACCAGTGCACATTCCCTACCACCAATCTCCCCGGTATACCCCCCTTTCCCACCCTCCCCTAATGGCAGACATTATTCCCCATAATCTCTCTACTTTCGGGCATTATGGTTTGCAATAGAGACACCAAGAGGCCATCATGTTTGGTCCTTTATCTACTTTCTGCACACATCTCCCATCCCGACCGATTCCTCCAGCCATCATTTTCTTAGTGATCTCTTCTCTATCCCAGCTGCCTTCTCCCCCTCGCCCAAGAGGCAGGCTTCCAGCTATGGAGCAATCTTCCTGTCCCGTGTATCTACTATTCTTGGATGTCAGCCTCATGTTTTAAAACCCCGCTTTTAGGGTCAATCCTTCCTGAGCTCAGAGGCCCTGTGATGACCAAGCATCAGCATTTATGAAAAGATTTGCCCCAGAACCTCACCCCTCTCCTCCTAAGCTAAAAATGTCCCTTTATTTCTAATTTGGAACCAATTAGTTAAAAACAACATGTATTTCTTGGAATAGGGAACATGATGATTCACCAAGTGTGGCTTATTGGAGTCAGGCAAGTTTTCTTCACATTTAGGGCTGAGAAACCCTTCCACTGAGCTTCTCTAGAATCTCTTCTGGCTCTCTGGTTTTCTCTTTCTCTTACATTTTGATTTTATTGATTAAAAAAAAAAACAGTATATAGAGTTTGGTAGAATTGTTTCTTTTGAGGTCATTTATTTGCTCGAGCGGGCCCAGTAACGTCTCCATTGGAGACTTTGCTGTTACTGTGTCTGGCATATCGAATACTCTCGGTAGCTTGCCGGGCTCTCCGAGAGGGGCAGAGGAATCGAACTCGGGTCGGCCATGTTGGCCGCTTGTAAGGCGAATGCCCTACCCACTGTGCTATCGCGCACCTTTGCTTCTTTCTCTAAATGTCTTTGGTAAGTGTGATCAGACTGTTATTCTTTGTCATTCTCTGATTTCTGGTTTGGGGGCCACACCAGACAGCACTTAGGGTTTACTCCTGTCTCTGTGCTCAGGGATCACTCCTGGTGGGCTAGGGGGACCATATGGGGTGCCGGGATTCGAACCCGGGTCGGCCGTGCACAAGGCAAGTGCTGTCCCCTGTATTTATATTTCTGTTTCTTTCACTTCTTTCACTTAGTACAGTCCCCTCCAGTTCCTTCCTAGCTGTCTCAAACCTCATGTCCTTCTTTCTTGCTGCGATGACAAACTTTTCCGTCCTGTATGGAGACCACAACTTCTCTTTCCACTCATCTCCACTCATCTGTCGCTGGGCATGCTGGTTGCCTCCAAATCCTGGCTGTTGTACTAAGAATGTAATGAGCATAGGCATGCATGTGTTTTTTTTTCTAATATTTTCATGTTGGGGAGGACTGGCACATGCCTAGAAACTAATCAAGCGTATGGACTATACCCATAAGAAGCCTTGGATGCTGGATTGTAGACCTGAGAGTGCCAAGTTGGGGGGATGAGCATAGGATAACGGCAAGTAACACGGGGGCATAAGTGAAAGGTCAGGAGCACGCAGTGGTGCTAAGGGACGTAACAGAATGCACAAAACCGTACCTGTCAATCAAAAAGAACGGGACGGCGTGTGGGGGGGAGGGTTTCATCTTTTCTAACAGCTGCATAGTATTCCATTGTGTAGATGTACCAAAGTTTCTTTAACCAAATCATCTGTTCTCGGGCACTCGGGTTTTTTCCAGATTCTGGCTATTATAAATAGTGCATATAAGTGGATCAATGCGGAGAGTATCATGCTAAGTGAAATGAGTCAGAGAGAGAGGGACAGATATAGAATGACTGCACTCATTTGTGGAAAATAAAGTAACAGAATGGGAGACTAACACCCAAGGATAATAGAGATAAGGGCCGGGAGGACTGCTCCACTGCTTGGAAGCCGGCCTCACATGCTGGGGGAAAAGGCAGCTGGGATAGAGAAGGGACCACTAAGTAAACGATGGTTGGAGGGATCGCTTGGGATGGGAGGTGCGTGCTGAAGGTAGACTATGGACCAAATATGATGGCCGCTTAGTACCTATATTGCAAACCATAACACTCAAAAAGGAGAGAGAGAGAGTAAAAGGGAATATGCCTGCCATAGAGGCGGGGGCGGGGGGGGGGGAGATCGGATGGGGGTGGTGGGAGGGATACTGGGATCATTGGTGGTGGAGAGTGGGCACTGGTGGAGGGATGGGTACTCCCATCATTGTGTGACTGAAACATAATCACAAAAGTTTGTAAGTCTGTAACTGTACCTCATGTCGATTCCTTAAAAAAAATTTTTTTAATGTAGGCTGTAAAACCTTTAAATAATAATTAAAAGCCACAGACTGTAAAAAGAAAGAAAGAGAGAAAGAGAGAGAGAAAGAAAGAAAGAAAGAAAGAAAGAAAGAAAGAAAGAAAGAAAGAAAGGGGGAAGGGAAAGGTGAGGCCACAGGGACTCGGTGGAGGGTCACAGGCACTTTGCTGGCAGCTGTGTGCAGTGATTTTGCACGTTATTATGATAAACTTAAGCACTGTTGGAACCCTAATCCATAAGCTGCAATTTGAGATGGGGGGGCGCGTTCTGCGTGGCTCTGCCCCTCTCCCACCCTGACCCTCTCCCTTGGGTGCTCGGCCTCCAGGCATGATCGACAGCGTGCTGTCCCCCGACCTCATCGATGAGATGTTCACCCGCCTCGTCCTGGTCAACGCCGTGTATTTCAAGGGCTTGTGGAAGTCGCGCTTTCCTCCGGAGAACACCAAGAAGCGCACGTTTACGGCAGCCGATGGGAAGTCTTACCAAGTGCCCATGCTCGCCCAGCTCTCCGTGTTCCGGTGCGGTAAGTCGCCCTTTCTAGAATGTTCTGGGACCCCCCCGCCCCCCCGAAGGAGCCACATTGTTTTCAAGAGCAGATCTGACCTCTTCTTTTTAAATAGCGGAGAAGAGGCAAGGAAGAGTCTTTTTGGTTCGGGTTTTGCTTTTGCTTTTTGGGTTTTTTTGGGTCACTCCTGGCAGTGCTCAGAGGACCATATGGGATGCCAGGGATGGACATTGGGTTAGCTGTGTGCAAGGCAAGTGCCCTACCCGCTGTATCATTGCTTGCTCGGGGCCCTGAGAAAGTCTTTTAAATGCTCCGGGTAAATCTACATTATTCTGTCCTTCCTTCCTCCTTACCTTTTCCTCCTCCCCTCCCCTCTCCCTCTCCTCCCTTCCCCTACACTTCTCCTTCTCTTCTCCTTCCTTCCTTCCTTCCTTCCTTCCTTCCTTCCTTCCTTCCCTCCCTTCTCCTCCCTTAGTTCCTTCCTTCTTTTCTTCCCTTATCCTTCCTTTCTTTCTTCCTTCCTTTCTCCTTCCTTCCTTCCTTCCCTTCTCCTTCCTTCCTTCCCTTCTTCCTTCCTTCTTTTCTGCTTTCCTTCCTTCTTTCCTTCCTTCCTTCCTTCTCCTTCCTTCCTTCCCTTCTTCCTTCCTTCCGTCCTTCCTTCCTTCCTTCCTTTCTTCCTTCTCCCTTCCTTCTTTCAGAGGACATTCAGTACATTGTTAGCAGTGATAATATATCAAATGATTCTTTTTCTTTATCTGAATTTTCTTAAGTAAACAGATAACCAGTTTTATCATCTCAGTGGGAGAAGTGACTCCCTGCTGTTCTGGTGACCCAGACCACTAGATCACCAAGTCTACCAACTGTCTCTCCTGCTCTTGGCATGGGGGCACATCCAGTGATGCTTGGGCAGACGGTGCCGTGCCAAGGCTCAAAATCAGGGCTCCTTCAGGCAAAGCACATGAGCCCAGTCTGCAAGCCAGCTCCCCGGACCCTAATGTTCTCCTAAACCTGGCCTAAAAGAAGCACTTGTGCGTGACCCAGTTTGATTGAAATTAGCTTCAAAGTCTTCATCCGCCTTTTCCCTGCATCCCAGTTTCATCACGATTGTTCAAGTGCTATTATTATAAGCGGGTATCGTTGCAATAATAATTATTAGCAAGTACTATTCAGTATCCATCAGCGCCACGTCTGCGACGAATTCCCCAGATTCTGAAAAATGAATCAACACAGTAAATGAAGCCGCCTTCCCACTCGCTGATCTCAGTCAAGTTTCGCCACTCGCTTGATCGATGTCTTCCAGCTCGTCTGGGACACCCCTGGGGAAAGCGCGGTGCCCGGACTCTGAGAAGAATCAAAGTTCTTTGGTGCCAAAGCCTCAGTGCTCTGCCTCCCCACTCAGCCCTACATCAGGTCCCCACCTCTGCATGGTCTTCCATCCACCCGTCCTCGAGCACTGTGCTGGGAGTAGCCCTCAGGCTCTGCTTGCCGAGACTGTACCCCCCATAAAAGCCAAACAAGCACAAGAGATGTAACCTGTGACTTAGAAAGAGCTGTGTGCCAGGCCAATCTTGGGGTCCGACACCCACAGGGCATTGGATTATTACATGTGACTGTACCTGGTCTCTGTCCAGTACCCATTTCCACCTGGTTCTGAGCCGCCCTGGGGGCCTTGTGTATTCTCTGGCTCTCTGCTTACCCGTTGGGTTGGCTAAGGGGGGAACAAATCAGCAAGTGACAGTCCTAGAGAAGATTTAGGGACCATGGCTGTCTCTCTCTGCGTCACCCAGACCCACAGCCTTCTAGTAAAGTGTTCGGTTCTGGCCAGCAGGGGGCGCCCCAGGGCTAGGTCTTCAGGCTGGGTCTCTTCCACTTCTCTCCCCCTGCCAGCTGATAATGAAGCCCCTTCCTTGCAACTCCAGGAGTGGTCCCGAATGTCCACTGCACTTTCCCTGAGCTTTCCAAGAGGCCCCTTCATGCAACTCTGCTTAAGTAGCCTGACTTGCCGTCCTGCCGTTTCCCATCAGACATTTCCATTCTGAATTCATAACAGAAGGTGGAGGCCTCCGTCTCTCTTTCTCTTTCTTTCTTTCTTTCTTTCTTTCTTCCTTTCTTTCTTTCTTTCTTTCTGCTTTTTGGGTCACACCCAGCGATGCTCAGGGGTTACTCCTGGCAGTGCTTGGGGGACCATATGGGATGCTGGGGATTGAACCCGGGTCGGCCACGTGCAAGGCAAACGCCCTACCCACTGTGCTATCGCTCCAGCTCCTGTCCATCTGCATAGTGTGGTGTGGACCTTCTTTCTCTCCTCTCTGAGCTCGACATGGGTCCTTCCTGTCTCCAGGATCTGGACCCCAGCTCCTTGCCTGGCCTGTGTATTGCAGGGAAACAGGGGGGCGGGGGGGCGGGGCAGGGGTGGGGTGTATCAGTCCCACCTGCCTTGTTCCCTGGATGCCTGGTCAGCCAGTCTACACTTCTCCTTCGAGAGGGCATCCGTGCCCCACCCCCAGCTAGGCAAAGTCCCGGGGGCAGACCCTGGCAGGCCTGTGTTTTCCTGCTCGCAAACTCCTTTGCCCGTTTCCTGCCAACTCAGCCAAGTCAGGAACGGGCCAGTCGGGCAGAGGCCGCTGGCCAGCACCAAGGCGGCCCTGCCCCCCCCCCCCCACCTCCTGCCCCGTGCCAGGCCTTGACCTCACCCTTGTTGCTCACTTGGCTGAGACAGCTCCATTCATCTGTGTGCCTGGCTGGTCCCCCAAGACAGCCCGCGAGGCCGCTGAGAAGATGCATGTGGGAATATACCGAGAGAGGAGGGAGAAAATAGCAGCCGTGAGGAACAGCCTCCTGGGTTGGCGCCTGGGAGGAGGAGGCTATTTCTGGATAGGGAGGAGGCTGGGCCGGCTTCCTGCTCCATGCCCCCGGACCCCGCTACCCACCGACCCACCCACCAACATCTCCCCCTCCCCAGTCCCCACACTCCAACCTCCCAGGTCTGTAAGGATCAGCTCTGGCCAACTCCGCACTCCCTCTCCTTCACGGATTAAGACTCTCCAGGACGAGACTTGACGATTTTCTTCCTCCCTTGCCCCTTGATGTCTTCGTTTTTTCTGAGAAACAACCCACGAGGCTGAGAGTGAAGGGGAGAAAACGAGACCCCAGCAAGACCCCAGTTTTGAGCCTCAGCAAGGCAGAGCAGCCGTGCATCTGGGCTCCTGTGTTGGAAGGGGTCAACTGGCCACCCAGAAACCCCCGCCTCCTGCAGCCCCGGGTGCTCTAATCATAGCACTATCTTTATCAGACTGGTGTGGGCTAGAACAATAGCACAGCGGGTAGGGCGTTTGCATTGCAAGAAGCCGACTCGGGTTCGACTCGGGTTCGATTCCTCCGCCCCTCTCAGAGAAGCTGGCAAGCTACCAAGAGTATCTCGCCCGCACAGAAGATCCTGGCAAGCTCCCCGTGGCGTATTGGATATGCCAAACACAGTAACAACAAGTCTCACAATGGAGACATTACTGGTCCCCGCTGGAGCAAATCGATGAACAACGGGAAGACAGTGCTACAGTTGCCACAGTGCTAGGAGGTAGCTCAAAGGGTTCGTGGTGGAACAAAGGCAAAGAATGGGCCTCTCCGCCAGCCCTGCTCAGAGAGAACAGCCTCAAAGACACCCCAAAGGCAGAGCTCCCAGACCAGGCCAGCCAACAAAATGCAAGATACAGATGTCCAGGACAAAAATATTTTTGATTTTTTTTCCAATTTTTTTAAAAAAATATTTAGACGGCTCTAGGACTCAAGTCGAGTTTCAGGCATCCACAGTCGCAAGACTAGTACCACCACCAGGGACTGCTTTCTATCCTCAGTGTCCCCAGGTTCCCTCTCACTGTCCCGATCACCAGCCTCCTTCCTGGATCATTGTAGTTCGGACCCCAGACTTCGGTGCTGATGACTCTGTGGTTTGGATATCCACATGCACCGCATGTCTACATCATAGCTGTTTCCACGGGCCAGCACTCTTCTCTCTCTCTCTCTCTCTCTCTCTCTCTCTCTCTCTCCCCCCCCCCCCTCCCTTTGGGTCACACTGGGCAATGGGACGCCAGGAATCAAACCTGGGTCAGCCATGTGCAAGGCAAACGCCCTCCCTGCTGTACTTTTGCTCCAGCCCCCCCATATGCCGCTTCTTATCCCCCCTATATATTTCTTCTTCCCTGGCCTTTTCATTTCTTAAGTGCATAGGTCATTTCAGTCACTGAAAGAACCAATGTTCTCTGGGTGCCCACTAGAAGGCAGGCCTTGATGAGCACTTGAAATTTTTGTGAGACGGTGGGGGGAGTGCATTTGGGGCCACACACAGCAGTGCTCAGGACTTACCCCTGGCTGTGGACCCAGGGAACACTCCTGGTAGTGCTTGGGGGGCCATATGGGGTGCTGGGGATCAACCCCAGGTCTGCTACCCTACCTTGGAGATCACTTTTTAGATGCATCTGCATGTTCTCATTGGTCTCCACCATCCTGTGGAGGGAGAGATCATTCCTCGTAGTCCAGGCTCTCCTTAGCACTGCCCCCTCACTGACCACCAGGGTTACCAGACTGAAGACTGTACCTTTAAAAGTTTGAAGTGTTTCCTAGAACATTCCAGAAAGCCCCCTAACTCTAGCAATGTCAGTTTGCTTTCTGGCAGATGTTTTCCAACTCTTCTCATCCCGTGACCCACATCAGGGTCTCGTGGCGCCCCGTACAGGACCCTTTCTCTCCAGAGTCACACCCAGGCCCCACCACACACCCGACACCGGGTGCTGGGTCCAGGCGCACCCCTGGTGGCTGCGTAGTCCGATCTGAGAAGTCAGTGCTCAGCGGCTCCATGCTTTGTGTCTTTGACATGAGGAGCTGGAAGGGGCTGGCGATGGAATCAGTTGCGGGGCGCGGAGAATACCCAAAGTCGACAGCGTCCTTGCCTTAAGCGTGTCTGAGATGCGCCTAGTGGCTCCCCCAGCATCCTGGAGGATGCAGCGCTTCCTGGACCACCTGTGAAAGCCGCTTGGTGCACAGCGCCCCCTGCCGCCCATGAGCGGTCAGACAGCCTTTGGAGGGAGGCGTGTTTGAGTCTCCCTGGGGCGTTTGTCCCGGGAGGGGAGAGGAGGGGCGGGGTGAGGGAGAAGGAGCGTGAGGGCTGGCTTGCGGAACGTGGAGTCGGGACCCCACGAACCCGGGAGCCCTTTGTCCCCGCTGCGCTTCGTTGCACCTGCGGTAGCCCCTCCAAGCTACATAGTGGGACAGGGTAAGCCTCGGTGGGAGACCTGGGAGCTTGCAAGTCTGTGGGGGTGACCGTGAGCCCACAAGCAGGGAAACTGCTTCAACACCCACCCCCCTCCACACGCACGCTTAGGGTCAGTGAGAAAGGTCCACTGGGCGGCCCAGAGAGATAATTCCGTGGACTGAGCACATGGAGCTTTGCACATGGGAGCTAGATTTGCCTCATCCCCGGAGGGAGCACTGCAGGAAGTGAGTCCCCAAACAAAGACCAAAACAGCCCCTCCAGGCCAGAGAGGTGACTCAGAGGGGCTGTGTATCTGAGCCCTTGGTGCAATCTTGGTACCGTACAGTCTCTGAATGTGGCCAGGTGTGACCTCAAATCTGCCACTCCGGGTCCTCCCTCCAAAATGAGAAATTAGTGAAACGAACCACTCCACGTCGGTGCACGTTCGTTCTCTTGCTCACAGATGGGTCAGCTTCTTGTGAAGTACTTAGGGCCTAGTTAAATTCTGCTCAGCAGAATCCATGGGACTTTAACGAGGTCCAAGGCCTCCTGCTGACTGGGCTGAGATTGGAAGCCTTGCTTCAAGGGCTTGGAGAAAAGGCAGCTGGGCTAGAGAAGGGACCACTACGACAAAGAGACAAAGGTAGTTGGAAATGTCATTCTGGATAAGAACTGCATGCTGAGTGTAGGTAAAGGAACAAACGTGATAACCTCTCAGTATCTGTATTGCAAACCATAATGCCCAAAATGGGGAGAGAGGGGCTGGAACAATAGCACACCAGGTAGGGCGTTTGCCTTGCATGCGGCCAACCGGGTTCGATTCCCAGCATCCCAAATGGTCTCCTGAGCACCGCCAGGGGTAATTCCTGAGTGCTGAGCCAGGAGGAACCCCTGTGCATTGCCGGGTGTCACCCAAAAAGCAAAAAAAAATGGGGAGAGCAGGCGGGTGTGTGTGTGTGTGTGTGTGTGTGAGAGAGAGAGAGAGAGAGAGAGAGAGAGAGAGGAAAAGTGCCTTCCATAGAGACAGGCTGGGATGGGGGATTGGCAAAAGGGAAACTGGGGACTCTGGTGCTGGGAAATGTATACTGGCAGAGGGATATGGGTGTTGGGACACTGTATGACTGAAATCCAGTCAGAAACAGCTTTGTAAGGGTCTACCTCACAGTGACTCAATGAAAAAACAAGGGGGCGGGGGAAATACAATTTCAAAATTTCAGTGGAAGTAAAAAACTTTTTTCATTGATTTGCAGGAAAAAAAAAAAAAGAAAAGGGGCAGGAGTGATCGCACAGCGGGTAGGGCATTTGCTTTGCATGTGCTCGACCCGGGTTCGATTCCCAGCATCCCATATGGTCCCCTGAGCACCGCCAGGAGTAATTCCTGAGTATATGAGCCAGGAGTAACCCCTGTGCACCGCCAGGTGTGAATCAAAAAGCAAAATACAGACACACACACACACACACACACACACACACACACAAAGTTCTGCTAAGGCTTGTCTTTGACTGTAGGGAGAAAGCACCGTCCTGCTCTTAGCTGTCCCAAAGGCAGCTATGTTTGATGGAAGCTTCTCAAACACAACGGCCCTACTCAGCCCTTGGCCATACATCGGGACCCCCCTTCCGGATATCACTGCAGAGCCGCTGACTTGCCTCTTGTCTCTTTAGGGTCCACCAGCACCCCGGGTGACTTGTGGTACAACTTCATCGAGCTGCCGTACCACGGGGAGAGCATCAGCATGCTGATTGCACTGCCCACAGAGAACTCCACCCCGCTCTCCGCGCTCATTCCTCACATCAGCACCAAGACCATCGACAGCTGGATGAGCATCATGGTACCCAAGAGGGTGCAGGTCATCCTGCCCAAGTGAGTAGTCCCTCGCCCCCGAGAGAAATCGCAGGCCCTGCATCTCGTGCCCAGAGGCACGAGGCTAAATTGAGATCTGGGCTGATGTCTGCTGTCTGATCTCTGCAGAAATTGCTTTAGTGGGAAGACCAGGCAATGCTTTGGTAAATGTCTAGCCCCCTCCTGCTTCGATACCTGCCTCCAGGGGTGATGGAGATTATGAGGAAGGAGAGAAGGTGGTCTGGGCTCAGAGCCTTCCCAACAGATGGAAGCTTCTTATTTCCCAGAGAGGGCGCCTTGATATACCTCATTCTGTTCCAAAGACTAGGAGACCCCCAACTGTCAGACACAATGGGATGTCCATTGAGTTTGGTAGCAGGTTATGGGGGGGTTGTTGTTTTGGTTTTTGGGTCACACCCGGTGATGCTCGGGGGTTACTCCTGTATCTGTGGCTCATGGATTATTCCTGGTGGGCTCAGGGAACCATGTAGGGTAACTGGTATCCAAACCAGGTCAGCCGTATACATGGCAAACACCCTACCCACGTACTATCTCTCTGGCCCAGACCATGGGTTATGTTACTCACTTTGGAGCTTTTGTTGGAAATAGCTGAATATCACGGTCCTCCTGTTATTCATCGATTTGCTCGAGCGGGCCCAGTAACATCTCCATCATGAGACTTATTGCTACTGTGTTTGGCATATCGAACACCTCACGGGTAGCTTGCCAGGCTTTGCCGTGCGGGCAAGATACTCTCCGTAGCTTGCAGGGCTCTCCGAGAGGGGCGGAGGAATCGAACTCGGGTCGGCCATGAGCTGAATATCAGGGTGGAAAATATAGACGGTAAATGTTTGGGGAGACTGGCAAGATAGTATAATTGTTAAGGCTCTTGCCTTCCATGTGGCCAACCTCAATTTGATCCCAGCACTACATATGGTCCTCTGAGCACAGAACCAGGGGCCCTGAGCACACCTGAGTGTTATCCCCTCCCCCAGAAAAATAAATATTTTGAAAATCCCGCAGAATTCTTTAGTTCCTCAACTGTATCACTGTATCACTGTGTCACCTTCATCCTGTTGTTCATCAGTTTATTCGAGCAGGCCTAGTAACGTCTCCATTCGTCCCAGCCCTGAGATTTTAGCAGCCTCTCCTTACTCGTCTTTTCCAATGCTGCCGTATTTGAGGCTCTTTCAGGGTCAGAGGAATGAGACCCTTTATTGTTACTGTTTTTGGCATATCGAATACGCCACAGGGAGCTTGCCAGGCTCTGCCGTGTGGGCGGGATGCTCTCGGTAGCTTGCCAGGCTCTCTGAGAGGCATATACATATATATGCCTCAACTATTACGGTCTAATTGTTGTGTGTAACATAGTGAGATAAGTGTATATTGCTAAAAGATGAAGGTGACTGAGCACACCCAACACCTCCCCTGGACATTTTTCATGTGCAAGGATCCTTCCGTTCAGTTCTCCCGACAGCTTTCAGTTGTGTTGACTGTGGACACTGAGCTCTACGTTTCCTCTCCAGGGTTTCCTCATCTCACAACAGACCGTTCATACCTTTGTCCCTCACCCCCTTTCCAGCCTCTGACAGCCACCAGCTGCTCAGCTTCTGAGTTTGGGTTCTCCTCGATTCCACAAAGAAGGGAGATAGTAATCGTCTCTCTTTGATTTCACGTCGCACACTGCCCTGGGGGAGGGGGGGGGCAGAGCGATAGCACAGGGGTAGGGTATTTGCCTTGTACTTAGCTGACCCAGATAACCTGGGTTCAATTTCTCTGCCCCTCTTGGAGAGCCCGGCGAGCTACCGAGAGTATCTCGATATGCCAAACACAGTAACAACAAGTCTCACAATGGAGATATTACTGGGACCGCTCGAGCAAATCGATGAGCAACGGGAGGACAGTGCTACTGCCCTCGGGGTCACCCATGCTCTGGAAAAAGGCCGATTGCTTTCATTTTACAGTCGAACACTGACCTGCTCTGACGGCCCCTTTTTTCATGCATTCAGCCACCAGTGGCCACTTACTTGGTCTGGTCTCCCTTTCTCAGCTGTTGTAAATAGAGTTGCCTTGGCCGGGGGAGACAGCTTTGTCTCCACAATCTCATTTCCTTGTGCTTCGTACCCAGAAGTGGAATGGGTGATTCGTCTAGTATTTCTGTTTTCCTTTTCTTCAGGGAGCTCTATACTGTCTTTTTGTTTGTTTGTTTGTTTTGTTTTTGTTTTTTGCCATCCCTCAGAGGTGAGAATTGCTGGAGCGATGGCACAGCAGGTAGAGCGTTTGCCTTGCACATGGCCGACCCGGGTTCGATTCCTCCTCCCCTCTCGGCAAGCTACTAGAGTATCCCACCTGCAAGCTCCCCGTAGTGTATTCGAAATGCCAAAAACAGTAACAATAAGTCTCACAAAGGAGACATTACTGGTGCCCGCTCAAGCAAATCGATGAACAGCGGGAAGACAATGCAACAGTGCTACAGTTTTTTGCCATGCAAAATTCTAGCATTAGCATCTAGCATAGTGTTGCTGGTACACCCGAAAATAGACAATTAAGAAGACTTTGAGCTGTCAGTGACTTGAGACCGAGGAAAAAGGGATATCACATTGTGAGTCAGATATTTCAACAAGTGAGTCAGTGCTTTGTCTGGTGTGAGCGAGAGGGGACGGGTGTCCTCTTTCTACGGTCTTCTCTTCCTCTTCCTCTGTCAACTTCCAGAGTTCTAAACCCCCCAGTCTCAGGAAGGCCAGAGACCCTTCCTTGTGCTTTTGATTGATTCTCCAGTTATTGAGTTATCAACAGAATATATTAATAATAACTACCCAAGTTTGATTCCTCCACCTCTCTCAGAGATCCCGGAAAGCTACCGAGAGTATCTCGCCCTCACAGCAAAGCCCTGGCAAGCTCCCCGTGACGTATTTAATATGCCAAACACAGTAACAACAAGTTTCACAATGTTACTAGGCCCACTCGAGCAAATCGATGAACAACGGGGAAGATAGTGATAGTAATAGAACTACTTACTAGTAGAGAACTTTGAAGATTTTTTTATTATAAAATTCTCTTTGAGGGGGCACAGAGATAGTCCAACAGGTAGGATGCTTGCTTTGCATGTGGCTAACCCAGGTTCAATCCCTGGCACCCCATTTGGTTCCCTGAGCCCACTAGGAGTGATCCCCAAGAGTAGAGTCAGGAGTGTGGCCTCAAAACCAAAACAGTAAAATAAGATTAGCCTTAACTCGCACCATGCTTGATATAAATGCATTCGACGGTGACTTAGCGGGTAAGTTGCAGTTCCAGTGGTAAGGGACTGTCTTCACCTCTCTGTGACGAGGCCCTTCTACCCTGCCTGGTTTCCCACAGGATGGCATAAAACTTGGTTCACCCGGGTCTGATTCTCAGCACTGCGTGGTCTCCTGTCTGGAGGCCCTTGAGCACCACTGGGTGTGACCCTAGAGACCCCCAGCACTGCCAGGGCGGTCCACATAACCCAGGACCACAGGGCCCAACCGGCTTCACATCCTTAGACCCTTGCATTGAAACACCAGCCTGATTGGCTGAGAATCTCCCCAGTGGGGCCTCCCGTGCCACCCCCCCTCCAAAAAAAAGTCTATGATAGTTCTAATTACTGAAGTTTACAGTAATTACAGTAGACAACAAATCATAGAGGGAAATGTATATATATAGAGAGAGAGAGAGAGAGAGAGAGAGAGCCACAAGGCCAAATCATTATATATATACATATATATATATATATATATATATCGGAAAGCCCTGCAAGCTACTGAGAGTATCCTGCCCACACAGCAGAGCCTGGCAAGCTCCCCGTGGCGTATTTGATATTCCAAAAACAGTAACAATAATGGATCTCATTCCCCTAACCCTGAAAGAGCCTCTGATACGGCAGTGTTGGGAAAGATAAGTAAGGAGAGGCTGCTAAAATCTCAGGGCTGGGACGAATGGAGATGTTACTGGCACGTGCTCTAGTAAATTGATGAACAACGGGATGACATTGATACAGTGAAGTTTACCTAGGTAGAGCCACACGGCCAAATCACCCACAGTTGGCTGAAAGAAAGCTCATGTGATCCCCACATGTCATACTGTATCACCGATTCTGAGTGTTTGCACCCGTTGGGGCAGTACAACGCTTTCCCGCTCCCAGCCTGAACCGGCAGGCATATCTCTCCTCCCAGTCGCAGTGGGTTGGATGTGGGGCGGAACTGGACAGATTCCACAGGACCAGGAACTCACGTCTGCACGAGCACATGAAAGAAAGTACAGGTGTGGCCCTCCCAAAGAAGGGGAATGGGAGCCCATCACTGGAGGACAACAACATCACAACTGGCTTTTACTCTGTAACACAAGTTTTGCCAGCAAAGCATTTGGGATCCCAGTTACCCTCTATTCACCAGGGTCTTAGATCTTGGGATCATACTTAAGGGGCAATGGAGATTGGTTGGTTTTCAAAGTAAACTGCAGAAAGACCTTTTCCACTGCTGTTGATTCTGCCACTTTTTGCTATCAGGGTCTAATGATCTTTCCCCCTATTTTCTTCTTTGCAACCAGGTTCTCAGCTGAAGCACAAACAGATTTGAAGGAACCTCTAAAATATCTTGGCCTCACCGACATGTTTGATCCGTCAAAGGCAAATTTTTCGAAAATAACAAGTAGGTTCCCTCTAAAACTTATTCTCAAACGTGAAGATTGTGTTGCAGACAGATTCTATGATTCGCTCAGGGAGGAGAAGTAGAATTAAGAGTGTGTTGAATGTTTTCTGGGGAGCCCAAGAAAACCTCCACAGTTAAAAAGTGTTTTATAAATTGCCTCTGATTCCCTGAAAATTTGGCCCACCTTTATATATGAGTTTGTCTCTTTGTTTTTAATGGAAATCTCTGCTGTTTGAAGACTCACTTCCACTCAACCACAGTAGGCATGCAGTTTGGAATTTCATGCCTAGTAATCTGAAAATCATAGAAATCCTTCCTTCCTTCCCTCCCACCCTTCCTTCCAACATCCTTCCTTTCTCCCTCTCTTTTTCTGTTTGTCTTGCTCCCTTCCTCCCTCTCTTCTCTCCTTTCCTCTCCTCTCTTTTCTCTCTTCTCTTCCTTCTTTCTTTTTTCTTCTCCCTTCCTTCTTCTCTTTCCTTCCTTCTGTCTGTCTGTCTTTCTTCTCCCTTCCTTCTTTTCTCTCTTTCCTTTCTTTTTTCTTCTCCCTTCCTTCCTTCTTCTCTTTCCTTCCTCCTTTTCTTTCTTTCTTTCTTTCTTTCCCCTTCCTTCTATTTCTTTTTTTCTTTTTTCTTTTCTTCTCCCTTCTTCTCTTTCTTTCTTTCTTTCCTTCCTTCCTTCCTTTCTTTCTTTGTTTCTTTCTTTCTTTCTTTCTTCCAGTATTTCATTCTTCTCCCTTCCTCCTTTTTTTTCTTTCTTTTATTTTATCTCTAACTTTTTTCTCTGTTTGGGGCCACCCCAGTAGTGTTCCTGACCCCACAGTACTCAGGCTTATTCCTGGCTGTATGTCATTCATCAAATCCAGGTCAGCGGGATGCAAAGCAAATGCCATATTCACTGTATTAGCCCGCTGGTTCCCATAAAAAATACCCAAATTAAAAGGAATCTGATTAGAACTTTTCTCTGCCAGAACATATAGGCGCCAGCTGGCCAATCACTGACCTCTTCCTAAAATTCAATCAGTGGCTGATCCTTTGTCCTTTGAAAAAGCCTTCTTCCAAGGAAAAGCAGGGCTGGCACCTGATTGGTATGCATTTCAGATTTATCCCCTTGAGCAGAAAGAAATTAGATCTTGAGCAAGTTCAGCAGCCTGCTCGTGAGTTTGTCCTGGGCAGAAATCCGGCACCCTCGCTGGCTGGCCTCACCCGGCTCTTCGCTGGCAGACCAGCAGCATTCCTATCTCCTGGCACGGGCTGGAAACGCAGACATGGGTCTGACCCAGAAACGAAAAGGCAATGTGTGCCCTGCCCCTGCGTAGCCATGTGCTCTGGGTGCAGATTCCTCAACAGCTGCTGGGCCTCAGTTTCCCCATCTCAGTTCTATGCTGCTGTCCCCAGGGTTTTCATATCTGACGCCACGTCTCTGAAAGAAATGAAAGCGGGTAGGGCATTTGCCTTGCACACGGCCGGCCCAGGTTCGATTCCCAGCATCCCATAGGGTCTCCTGAGCACCACCAGGAGTAATTCCTGAGTGCATGAGCCAGGAGTGACCCCTGTGCATCGCTGGGTGTGACCCAAAAAAGCAAAAAAGCAAAAAAAAAAAAGCATCAGCTTGCTCTTCGGGAAAATAGGGCCTTTCGGTGCTTTGCCCTTTTTTTTTTTTTTTTTTTTTTTTTTTTGCTTTTTTAGCTGGAGTGATAGCACAGCGGTAGGGCATTTGCCTTGCATGCAGCCAACATGGCCGACCTGAGTTCGATTCCTCTGCCCCTCTCGGAGAGCCTGGCAAGCTACCGAGAGTATCTCGCCCGCACGGCAGAGCCTAGCAAGCTCCCCGTGATGTATTCAATATGCCAAACCCAGTAACAACAAAGTCTCCAATGGAGACGTTACTGGGCCCACTCGAGCAAATCGACGAACAACGGGAGGGCCTTTGCTTTTTTTGGGTCACACCCGGCGATGCACAGGGGTCACTCCTGGCTCATGCACTCAGGAATTACTCCTGGCGGTGCTCGGGGGACCATATGGGATGCCGGGAATCGAACCTAGGTCGGCTGCGTGCGAGGCAAATGCCCTACCCGCTGTGCTATTGCTCCAGCCCCTGCTCTGCACTTTTTATTCTTTATATTTTAATAAAATTCTTAGAGATCAGAGTTGACTGCATAGAGAAACTAGCTCTCCTCTGAAGAGCTCGGTACAGTCATTTGGAAGGTGGACAGTCCACCCACCATCAGTCAACCTGTCCTAGGTCACTCTTCTATGACTCTTATCAAGAACTGGACCTTGGGAATGGCAAGAGAGTACAGTGGGGAGGGTGTTTGCCCGCCTTGCATGCAGCTAATCCAAGTTCGATCCCCAGCACCCCATATGGTCTCCTGCGCACTGCCAGGAGTGATCCCTGAGCACAGAGCCAGCAGTAAGCTCTAAGCACCATAGGGTATGCCCCCCCCAAAATAAAAATTATTAAAAATAAAAAGAGAAAGAACTGGCCTTTGCCACCCCTCTGAGCTCGCTCCCCCAGCCTACTAGAGGACTTCCGTGTCAGACCAACACCATGTTTGTTTCCTGTGCACAGAGTCAGAAAACCTTCACGTTTCTCACATCTTGCAAAAAGCGAAAATCGAAGTCAGTGAAGATGGAACCAAGGCTTCAGCAGCAACAAGTAAGTTCTGGGCTGTGCATCAGGGGGGCGGGGGGAGAGCAAGGATGGATGCTCAGGTCCATCCTTTAACTCCGCACACACAGAACGAGCCCTGATTCTGGACCAGGCATAGAAGGTTGACTCAGATCGATTTCGGGACCTGTGCTCCACAAAACCTAGACTCTGTCTATGCCATTGAGGAAAGCACATCAGTGAGAGAAACTCCTCTAGGACAGGAGTCAGCACTTATTTCCGAAGAGATCCTGAGAGTACGCATCTTCAGCTTTGGGAGGCTCCGGGGGCGTCTCCGTTGAAGCCATTATCAAGTGACGTAGCCCTAGAGGACACAAGTCAGTGAGTGTGCCAATAAAGCTTTATGTAGACGGCCCCCAGCCCCTGAGTCTTGGCCTAAGAACAGTAGTTTGCTCTTAGGAGAAGCAAATCCATCCTGGCTTGTCATTGGTAGGAAAGACTGAAACAAAATCACAGCAAGTATGAGTAGGAAATAGCCCACAGGGTCCATTGCGTGAAGAATTATCGGGCAGCTGTTGAAGTACAGTGGGTGGTCCTGCTTTCTTCCCTGGTAATTAGAACAGCCACACCTGCCTTCTCCTTGATGACTTATTAATGAAGGAGAAAATAGAAAAATCTTAGGTTGACTTTTTGGTGCCTTCATCCCCCCCCACCTCTAATTACCCACGTGAGAGTGGAAATCTGCCCAAATTCTGTGAACTCATAAAGCGAATATCTTAGCTGCACTGGTAACTAGGTCAAAGACATCTGGTCATTAAGATACCACTGATGCTCACAGCAGAAACCGCATTGCCTTTCTAAAATAAACGCTACGTGTTTATCCCTTTAAAATAACGTTTAAACAAAGACCCATAATCAGAGGGCTTAGGCTTTTTCAGAAGCCTTTTTGTCTTTTTTTAGACAATTGACTAGAAATCATATCTAGGGCAGGAGTGATATATAGTACAGTGGGCAGGGGCGTCTGCCTTGAATGCAGCCAATCCTGGTTCAATCCCCAGCACCGCATTTGGTCCCCCAGGCCTGCCAGGAATGATCCCTGAGCATAGAGTCAGAAGTATGATGTGAGCACTGCTGAATGAGGCTCCCCCCCCAAAAAAAAAAGAAAAACAAAAAAAGACTGTAAATAAAATATCTCACCCTGCAAAACTCAGCTCAGATGTCTTCTATGATGTTATTGCCAAATCCAGTTTCAGAACTCACCACTTGAAGGCATTATGGAAGAGACAACATGATATATTAAACATAGTTTCACTCCTAAGTTGAAGCCGTTGAATACTGGCCTCTAAAAATGTGATTCTTAACATCTTTATCATGTTTGTCTTCCAGAGGACTTTTTTTAAGTTTAGTGTCTAAACCTTTAATACTTCCAGAAGATGTCATACTTTTTAAATCAAAGCTTCCAAATTGTTTAATTGAAAACCAGTGTTTTGGGGCTGGAGAGTTAGCACCACAGCAGGTAGGGTACTTGCCTTACACACAGCTGACCTCAGCATCCCATGTGCTCCCCCAAGCCCTGCCAGGAGTAAGCCCCGAGCACTGAGCCTGGAGTGAGCCCTGAGCATAGAGCCAGGAGTGAGCCCTGAGCACAGAGCCAGGAGTGAGTCCTGAGCACTGAGCCCCAAGTGAGTTCTGAGCACTGAGACCCGAGTGAGCACTGAGCCCAGAGTGAATCCTGAGCACTGAGCCCAGAGTGAGCCCTGAGCACAGAGCCAGGAGTGAGCTCTGAGCACAGAGCCTGGAGTGAGCCCTGAGCATAGAGCCTTGAGTGAGCCCTGAGCACAGAACCTGGAGTGAGCCCTGAGCATAGAGCCAGGAGTGAGTCCTGAGCACTGAGCCACAAGAGAGTTTTTGAGCACTGAGCCCCGAGTGAGCACTGAGCCAGGAGTGAGCCCTGAACACAGAGCCTGGAGTGAGCCCTGAGCATAGAGCCTTGAGTGAGCCCTGAGCACAGAGCTAGGAGTGAGCACTGAGCCCAGAGTGAGTCCTGAGCACAGAGCTAGGAGTGAGCCCTGAACACTGAACCCGGAGTGAGCCCTGAGCACCACTGGGGATGGCCTCCCCCTCAAAAAAATGACATCTAAATGTTGCCAGTGTTGTTGACCCATTTTTGCCAACTAGCAGGACTGGCTCCATAAATCCTCAAGGTCCTGTAACAAACAAAAGCATGAAGCTTCTGCTTCCGAGCTCACTAAAAATGTCAACACACAAACAGCAAAGTAGTGGCCCCAAGGCAGGTGATTGTGGTGCGTTGGTGGTGCAGCTAGCCAGCCACACAGCCCAGGTCGCCCTGCCACCTGCACCAGCTTGCTGGACCCACCTAACGTGCTGCCACAGACCCATGACTTCGGCTGCAGAATTCATCTCTCCCAGATCTAGGCACCGGGGGTCCACAGAGCTGCTGTTGGCAGAATGGGTTTCTCCTGAGACATTCTTCCTGCGCTTACAGATGGCCGCCTTCTCATCAGCATCCTTCCATTAGACGAGAGCCCCGCCTTCATGTCCTCATCTAAAAAATTAGATCTTGGGGCCACAGCCATAGTGGAGTGATAAGGGCGTTTGCCTTACACGTGTCCGATCCCGGTTCAGTCCCCAGCATCCCATATGGTCCCCCGAGTACTGTCAAGAGTCATTCCTGAGTGCAGAGCCAGGAGTAGCCCTTGAGCATCGCTAGATGTGACCCAAAAAGCAAAAAAAAAAAAAAAAAAGGAAAAAAGAAAGAAAGAACATTTAAAAATAAATAGATAAATAAAAATAAAAAATTAGATCTTTTCTTCAAGACCCCATCCCCAACCCAGTTGCAGTAAGAGTGAGGTTCCAATATATGCATTTTGAGGGATGTAGTTCAGTTCATATGACTGGAAAAAAATGACCTTTCTTTAAAAAAAAAAATAATTCTGGGAGCTGGAGCGATAGCACAGCGGTAGGGCGTTTGCCTTGCACGCAGCCAACATGGCCAACACAGGTTCAATTCCCAGCATCCCATTTCGTCCCCCGAGCATCACCAGGAGTAATTCCTGAGTGCATGAGCCAGGAGTAACCCCTGAGCATCGCCAGGTGTGACCCAAAAAGCAAAACAAAACAAAAAAAAATCTGAAAAGGTAGTCTAGTGGGCAGGGTTCTTGCCTTACCTGCAGCCAGTCCACTCAGGCTTGATGCCCTGCATCCCGGACGGGAGTGATCCCTGAGCACAGAGCCAGGAGTTAGCCTGAGTGCCATAGGGTGTGTCCCCAAAGCAAAAACCCAACAACAGCGACTATTCAATGGTGTTTGTGCTTTGAGTGTTTTTTTTTTTAAAGCCAGAAACACTGTTCTAAGAGGTGTCATATGTTTCGATGCCATTTAACCCTCAGAGGAGCAAGTGTGCTTGTTAAAGAAGACAAAGGCGATGGTATAGAATCAATGAGAAAGTCACGGCAAAGAGCCATGGCCGTGGGGAGCGTCCAGTAACTGGTCAGCAGAGCGCAGGAAGGGATGAAGTGTGACCTCAGACCGCTGCCCCCAGGGCCCCAGGCAGCTGCTGTGTTGTCTTTCCACTGTGTAACACCTTTTCCTTTTCTTTTCCCCCCACAGCTGCGATTCTCATTGCCCGGTCATCACCCCCCTGGTTTATCGTAGACAGGCCTTTTCTATTTTTCATCCGACATAATCCCACCGGTAAGTGGATTCTCTTCCAAGGAGTGTACCCAGACCACGGCCTCTCTTCGTTCTGTCCAACCAAGTCGTGCCTAACCCCTTTCACTTGTGCAGCTGGAGACATAGGCCAGGGATGATGACCCTTCCTTGCCTGGTATGTGGCTGGCCCTGGATTCACTCCCATCACCACATGGGATCCCCTGAGCACTACCCGGAGTAAACCCAGAGCACAGAGCTGGAAATAACTCCTGAGCACTGCCAGGTGTGACCCAAAGCTGCCCCCTCCCCCGCACCCCTTGTTTCCAATCCCTTTCTCTTGTCACAACCATTGCAAACACTATTATCACCCACCTTGAAGAGAGAGGAAAATCAAGTTTGTATTTCCAGACTGTGATGGAATCTTTTGGGCTGGAGCGCTAGCACAGCGGTAGGGCGTTTGCCTTGCATCCAGCCGACTCAGCCAACCTGGGTTCGATTCCTCGGCCCCTCTCAGAGAACCCGGCAAGCTACCAAGAGTTTCTTGCTCGCACGGCAAGGCCTAGCAAGCTACCCGTGATGTATTCGATATGCCAGACACAGTAACAAGCGTCACTATGGAGACGTTACTGGGCCAGCTCGAGCAAATCGATGAATAACGAGAGGACAGTGACAGTGACAGTGATGGAATCTTTTAAACATTGACAAGATCCTAAGGGGCTGGTTTTTATTTTGTTTTTCATTTAGAGAGAGAGAGTTCAGCAGCCCTCTGGGCCCTTTAGACATTTATTGATCCCCCCCCACCCCAGTTTTATCAATGCAGGAGCCGAATTTTATTAAAAAAAAAAAAAAGCTACAGGTCTTCAACTTTCAAAAGCCTCTACTGTTCTTAGGAGCTGAGATTCATTAGTTCAGTAGCTGAGAAATTCATTAGTTCATTAGTTTTAGCTTCGTGTTTAACATGCTGCAGTTTGTGTTAATTGAGCAACAGCAAATGTGAGCCGCCCGCGGTATGTGCAGATACCAGTGTACTCAAAAGTTAGTGATTGTTCCGGTACAATGATTAAGAACCACTTGGTGATAGGAAGTCATATATTTCATCTTTCATTCTTTTTTGATCACACAAACTATCTTTCTTTTCCACTAGGGCGTGTGTGTGTGTGTGTGTGTGTGTGTGTGTGTGTGTGTGTGAGTGATCAGGGAGGAACCATTTGGTCCCCATCTTCAACCCCTCATTGGTTTTTAATGTCATTGAATTTCACAGTCCAGTGCTATCCTCTAGCCTTATGGAAATACTTCATGTAAACGGGTAGCACTGCATTGTAGCCCTGTCCTTCCGTTGTTCATCGATTTTGCTCTAGCGGGCATCAGTAACAAGACTTGTTGTTACTGTGTTTGGCATATCTAATACGTCACGGGTTGCTTGCCAGGCTTTGCCGTGCGGGCATGATACTCTCAGTAGCTTGCCGGGCTCTCCGAGAGGGGCGGAGGAATTGAACCCAGGTCGGCCGGGGTCAGTTGTGTGCAAAGCAATCGCCTTACCCGCTGTGCTATCGATCCAGCTCCATGTAAACGTATAATTCACTAAAATGAAATCATCAGAAACTTAAGGGTTTTTTTTATCCACACTGTCCACATTTCAAGGGCTTGATGGCCCGTGGCTGCTGTACAGGACCAGAGCATGTGGGACCATCTCCCCCACTGCAGGGAGCTTGAGGGTCAGGCTGCCGGTGAATGTGACCTCGAAATACCTTCTGTCTCACCGTAAGGATGGTCTTCTATCATTCTGCACGATTTCATGGACTTACGTGTCATTTCCTTTGAACCCCATAGGTGCTGTCTTATTCATGGGGCAGATCAACAAACCCTGACGAGCTCACGAGGGAATCCCTGCACCGCGAAGACTCCTTTGCTCCCCTCCTACGTCTTCCATAGTTCTGTTCAATATTTTTGTACATTACCTTCTTTTCCACATACACCTGTCGGAACAGAGTCTCAGTGACGCCAGGGATTCGATTCTGGGATGGGTTTGAGAGTGGAGGGAAAGACAGAAGGGCTCGACACTGCACTGAAAAACCTGCAGAGTGTCTCAAAGATTCTTTTCAACTACTGAGCGGTCACCTAGCCTAGCAACCCTCTTGAGGATTTAACTGTCCAGGAGTTTTGTTCTGTTTCTACATGGGCTTTTCAGGAGAAACTTAATCAGTGTAACACAGGGATGGGGCGGGGAGGCGGACGGTGGGAGGAAAGACATTTTATGGTAGCTTTTACTTTTTTTTATAAAAACGTTATTGGCCTTTGAAACTTTTTTTTTTTTTGGTCCCATCCAAAGTCTTGCTCATAGTCAGCATTATTTGGGGGGAAGGGGGATAGAAATAGTGAGCTCTTTAGCCTCTCCGTGTTTTTGTTGTTTTATAGGATGCATGTATTCACTAAAAATCAAGTCTGCAAAGCTAATGATGTCTTGCTAGACCGGGTTTGCTGTCGTGCAGTGTGCCTGTTGCTACTGGTCTGTATTCTTGGGATTTGCATTTTTTGTATTTTGTACAAAGTAAAAATAAAGTGTTATGAGTAGTAAAAAAAAAAAAATCATCAGTACAATACCGTGTCTCTGCTCTATGGAAATACAACCAAAGAAATGGGACCCTGCAAGTAAAGTAAGTAAGTAAAGGCCCTCCCGTTGATCGTCGATTTGCTCGAGCGGGCCCAGTAACGTCTCCATTGGAGACTTTGTTGTTACTGTGTCTGGCATATCGAATACTCTCGGTAGCTTGCCGGGCTCTCCGAGAGGGGCGGAGGAATCGAACTCGGGTCGGCCATGTTGGCCGCTTGTAAGGCGAACGCCCTACCCGCTGTCCTCTTGCCACTTCTAAGAAACCTTTACAGTTGGGAAAACTGAAAAACTCAATGCTCAGGGCTCCCCCAAACCCCTTTTTTTCTAAGCCTGGCTGTGGACATTATTCTCAATTGACAGATCACTTCAGAGGAGTCGCAATAGCAGAAAACTCAATTTTTTTTTCCTTCTTGGGTCACACCAGGGATGCTCAGGGGTTACTCCTGGCTCTGCACTCAGGAATTACTCCTGGCGATGTTCAGGGGACCACATGGGATGCTGGGAATCGAACCCGGGTTGGCCATGAAAGACAAACACCCTCCCCACTATACTATGACTCCAGCCTCCAGCAAAATACAATGCTGTGGGCTCCCCCAGACCTCCTCCTGGTCTCAGCAGGGGTCCCATCACTGGGCTGGGAGCTGAGAACTGGCCACAACGAAGACAGAGGAAGACAAAGACGAGTTGGTAGCAAGGGCAGAAGGAAGGGGCTGCTTTAGAAATGAGAGTGAACAAACAGCTCATGCTGCATTTCCAGTGCCAGGCTGGAGTGTTTCCTTTCTGAAAGGGTGGTGTGTAGTCGTTTCCTAAGGACTCCTCACAATTGTTATGTTACCTGACCCCACCCCCGGCCACCCCCCAGTGTTCGATTTGCCTGTTTCCTCCTGCTCCCTGACCCCCTACCCCCCAGTTTCCTAAGCCTGTTGGTCATCTCCTTAAATCAGAATGACTTAAGACATTTCTTCCAGGACCTAAGGGACTTGCCTTGCTTGTAGCTGACCCTGGATCAATCCCCAGGATAGGGTCCCCAATCACTGCCAGGAGTGAGTGGAGCCAGGGGAGTCCCTGAACATCACTTAGAAAAATACAAAAAAATTCTTTTTTTTTTTTTTTTTGCTCTTTTGGGTCACACCCAGCAATGCGATGCTCAGGGGTTACTCCTGGCTCTGCACTCAGGAATTACTCCTGGCAGTGCTCAGGGGACCCTATAGGATGCTGGGAATCGAACCCGGGTCAACCTCGTGCAAGGCAAACCACCTACCCGCTGTACTATCGCTCCAGCCTCATAAAAAACATTTTTTTTTTGCTTTTTGGGTCACACCCGGCGATGTTCAGGGGTTACTCCTGGCTTTGCACTCAGGAATCACTCCTGGCGGTGCTCGGGGGACCATATGGGATGCTGGGAATCGAACCCCGGTCAACCTTATGCAAGGCAAACCACCTACCCGCTGTGCTATCGTTCCAGCCTCATAAAAAAAAAACATTTTTTTAATCCCTGAGTTCTACTTGCACCCTCTCATGAAACAGGACAAGCTCAGCTTCAACATTCCTAAAATTGCATCTATCATTCAGGTCCCGTGGCTGAGTTTAGCTGCAGGCCACTCTTTAAGCATGGAAACTTTCATTCACCAGAAGAGAAGAGAGAAAGGAAGAGGGTTGTTCTGATTTCAGAGTTAAGCACCCTTTGGACTCTTAATGAGATCGGCACTGCCTGAGACATGCTAGGAAAATTAAAAAGGCCAGGCACCACTTAGTACCCCTGTTGCAAACCATAACATCCAAAAGGAGAGAGAGAGAGAGAGAGAGAGAGAGAGAGAGAGAGAGAGAGAGAGAGAGAGAGAGAGAATGTGCCTGCCACAGAGGCAGGGGATTAAGGGTTGGGGGTGGCGGGAGGTATACTGGGAACACTGGTGGTGGAGAATGGGCGCTGGTGGAGGGATGGGTACTCGATCATTGTATAACTGAAACATAATCACGAAAGTCTGTAAGTCTGTAACTGTATCTCAGTGATTCATTAAAAAAATTAAAAATAAATAAAAAATAAAAAGGCTAGGCACAAACCCGAGTGGGAAAGTGCTATGTCTCCCCAGCTTTGGGAGGGGTCAGTCCTAAAAAAAAAAAAAATGAGACTGGAGAAAAATGCCAATCCTAAGCAATTCTTGGAGTCCAGGGTTTGAAGCTTTTGTTATTCTGTTTTTTTTTTTTTTCTTTTATGGGCTAGCCCCAGAGGTCTTGGGAGTCGCTCCCTGCGGTGCTCAGGGGACTGTCTGGTGATCCCATATGCAAAGCCTGCATTCATCCCAATAAAAAGAGGAACGATACAGCCCTCTGGGAATCATTGTCATGAGTGTAGGAAACTGTGGCTGTAAAGATCGGGGTTTTCTGTCACTGAGCAACTATATAGCCAGAAAGACTGGGGTTTTCTGTCCGCGAGCAACCCTGTTTCCAGAAACTGCTGGGCCACTTCTCTACCGCCAGCCTCCATGAGTGCTGACAAGACTGTCAATTTGGGCACATGAAGCCTGGAAGACACCTCTAGCCAATAGTCCTGTTTCTTTTCTCTCTTTTTGGCTTGTTGGGTCACATCCAGCAAGGCTCAGGGGTGGGTTCCTCCTAGCTTTGCACTCAGGAATCACTCCTGGTGGTGCTCGGGCATCCATATGGGATGCCACGGATTGAACCCATGTCGGCGGCATGCAAGGCAAATGCCTACCCACTGTGCTATGGCTCCGGCCCCAGCCCTGTTCCTTTAGAGAGTTCCAAACTGCCCTTAGGACCCCCTTCCCAAATCTTGAAAATGGGGGTGCCGATATGTCATTGAAAGGGAAAATTAGCCCCCTGAGGAATCACTGTTCTACCTGACACCAGGTACAATGAGAGCGATGAGAGCATTGGCAGACAAGGTTGAACACTGGGTCGCACAGAAGTCAAGGTCCCAATGTTTGAGTAGTTCGCCTTCTTCCCCCAAGTTGGACCTTCCGTAGCATCAAAGAGAGGTAAGGGTCGGGGCTGGAGCGATAGCACAGCGGGTAGGGAATTTTCCTTGCACGGGGCTGACCCGGGTTCGATTCCCAGCATCCCATATGGTCCCCTGAGCACCAGCAGGAGTAATTCCTGAATACATGAGTCAGGAGTAACCCCTGTACAATGCTGGTGTGACACAAAAGGAAAGAGAGAGAGAGAGAGTGAGAGAGAGAGAGAGAAAGAGAGAGAGAGAGAGAGAGAGAGAAGGGCCTTTGTGGTTGTCCTTCCCGGGCAAGCGAACAAAAAGAGAATGTGAGGGACCAGTCGTCAGGAGCCCAGTGACAGCACAGACAGATTCAGGAACCCAAGGATGCTTCGCTGGGTTGTCCCTCAATTGGTCTGATGACTCACTCTCCCCTGACCCTGGCTAGTCTTGCTGTGAAATGCTGTTACTAATGACTTAGAAGTGTCAGGCGTGTATGCCTCCGCTTCACCTGCTTAGTAGTTGTCAGTGGCGACTGTTGTCCTATTCACAAAGTGCTCAGAACAAGCTCACTTCCGTAGCGTGCGTTTTTAATTACAGCAGAGGTGGCCGAGAGTCACAGAGTTCCTCTGCAGATGAAGGGAGAATAATAGCCATAGTTTTCGCTACTGTCTTTCCCTCCCGCACGTTGGTTAAGCCGTCTTCAGTGCCCCATAAAAGCACAAAGGCGTGATGGTGGGCGGACACTCCCGATACCAAGCTGCGGTTTTCAGGGGCCAGGGTGCTGGTGATGTGCTCGCCTGAGTCTCCTCTTGGATGAAGGGTGCTTCGTATGCACCATGTGATTCCACCTTGCCGTCTTTGTCAGTGCCCTCCAGACCTGGCTGTCATGGGCTCTTGACAGCCGACCAAAGTGGCGGGCAGCCACAGTTGGAAGCTTGCCTCATGACCCGGGGGAGACGGCAGCTGGGATAGAGAAGGGATCACTAAGTCAATGATGGTTGGAGGCATCCAAAAGGAGAGAGAGAACAAAAAGGAATGCCCTGCCACTGAGGCAGGGTGGAATTGGGGGGATGAGGGGGTGGGAGGGATACCGGGATCCGTGGTGGTGGGAAATGGGCACTGGTGGGGGGATGGGTATTAGATCATTGTATAATTGAAACCCAAGCACAAAAATTTGTAAGTCTACAACTGGACCTCATGGTGTCTCACTAATAAAATTTTTTTTTAATGATGGTTGGAGGGATCATTTGGGATGGGAGGTGTGTGCTGAAAGTAGATAAAGGACCAAGCATGATAGCCTCTCAGTATTGCAAACCATAATGCCCAAAAGTAGAGAGTATGGGGGAAATTGTCTGCCCTGCAGGCAGGGGGAGGGTTGGAAAGGGGTGGGGGGATACTGGGGACATTGGTGGTGGAGAAAGTGCACTGGTGGTGGGATGGGTGTTTGATCATTGTATGACTGAAACTCAAACATGAAAGCTTTGTAACTGTTATTTCACAGTGATTCAATTAAACAAGAAAAAAGAAAAGTGGCAGGCAAGTCACAGCTCTGGGTCCTGGGGGCTTCATGGACTGAGGTTTGGAGGGATGATGATAAGTGGGGTCCGCCGAGGGAGGTCAAAGGAGGCTGTTGAGCTGGCAGCAGGGCACCGTCAAGATGCTAAAGGTGGGGGGGTCTGGTCTGGAGCGATAGTACAGCAGGTAGGGCGTTTGCCTTGCACGCAACTGACCCAGGTTCGATTCCCAGCATCCCATATAGTCCCCAGAGCACCGCTGGGAGTAATTCCTGAGTGCAAAGCCAGGAGTAACCCCTGTGCATCGCCGGGTGTGACCCAAAAAGCCAAAAAAAAAAAATGTTAAGGCGAATGCCCACATCTGTGGCGAGGGAGGGGATGTGCTCTCTGACGCAACGCGCCTGTGTCCTGCAGCTCTTTCCATCCCGAAAAGAAGAAGCCAGAAACAAAACACCTCTTCAAAGTTTCAGCTGGATAAGACAAAATCATGCCGTTTGGATCCGGGGAGTTACTGTGCAGAGTGACAGTAGAAGCAAGGAGATGAGCATGGAAACATCGCCCTCACATGTGGGACATAAAGCAACACAGGAAGGAAACACAAATACTCAAAGGCAACAGCAACTGAGAGCTGGTCTTCAGTAGGAGGCTCTCACTGTGTGTAGGGGGGGATGGGGTTGAGGGGGGCAGGAGAGCAGTTGGGGGACACGGGGAAACTGATGGAGGACAGCTGACATTCTGGCGTAGGGTGTGGTGTTGGAATTTTTATGCATGATACCGTGCCACCATCAATATGTAAATCTGTAGCACTGTAGCACTGTCCTCCCATTGTTCTTCGATTTGCTGGAGTGGGCCCAGTAACGTCTCCATTGTGAGACTTCTTGTTACTGTGTTTGGCATATCGAATACGTCACGGGTAGCTTGCCAGGCTCTGCCGTGCGGGCGAGACACTCTTGGTAGCTGGCCGGGCACTCATGGTGCCTAAAATGAAAATTTTCAATGAAAAGAAAGCAATAAAAATCAATGTTTCGGGGCCGGAGCGATATAGTACAGTGGGTAGGGCATTTGCCTTGCATGCAGCCGACCCGAGTTCAATTCCCGGCTTCCCATATGGTCCCCTGAGCACTGACAGGAGTGCAGAGCCAAAAGGAACCCCTGAGCATAGCTGGGTGCGACCCAAAGAGCAAAAAAAGAAAGAAAGAAGTTTTGGCTAGCCAGGGAGATAGCTCTGAGAGAGTATGCTTTGCAGGGTGAGACCCGAGTTTGATCCCTGGCAGTGTTAATGCGTGGTCCTTGATGGCCTCAAGCACCAGTGGACCCTGGGACCAAGCATCCAACCACCAAATCGAGTATCACCTGGAGTGGATCGGAGGACCCGGCCATCCTTAGTATGGGTCCCTGTTAAAAATGAGAAATTTAGGGGCTGGAGCGATAGCACAGCGGGTCAGGTGTTTGCCTTGCACACAGCTGACCCGGGTTCGATTCCCAGCCATCCCATATGGTCCCCCGAGCACCACCAGGAGTAATTCCTGAGTGCATGAGCCAGGAATAACCCCTGTGCATCGCCGGGTATAACCCAAAAAGCAAAATAATAATAATAATAATAAAAAATTTTAAAAAATAAGAGATTTAGCTACGGCAGCATTGACGTTTCCCTCATCCCCAGTGAATGCAGAAGAGCTCAAACGCCCAAACCTCGGCATCAGAGGTGAGTTTAGAGGAACGGTTCATACATGAATTCTTTACATTGGATAAGTTAGCATCTCCAGGTCTATCCACAGAATGGGAGAGCTGCAAGGGATGGAGGAAAGTCAGGTACTACCGAAATCACATGCCCTGTGAATCTTCTCTATAATTGCTCTCTGCAGGCCGCTTTATGGGCAAGTAATAAAGCATATTAGATTAGAGCCCCATCTTGTGGTTAAAATGTATACAATATTGCACACACATACACACACACACACACACACACAGCTCTTTTATAAACACACAGCTCCACTTTACACACACACAGCTCCACTTTATACACAAACACACAAAGCTCCACTTTTCACTCACACATAAACACACATACATACAGCTCCACTTTATACAAAAACACAGAGCTCCACTTTTCACTCACACACACAAACACACACACATACAACTCCACTTAATACATAAATACAGAGGTCCACTTTTCACTCACACATAAACACACACACACACACATACAGCTCCACTTTATACAAAAACACAGAGCTCCACTTTTCACACACACACACATACACACACACACACAATTCCACTTTATACACAAACACACACAGAGCTCCACATTTCACACACACACACATACAGCTCCACTTTATACATAAGTATACAGAGGTCCACTTTTCACTCACACATAAACACACACACACACACACATACAGCTCCACTCTATACAAAAACACACAGAGCTCCACTTTTCACTCTCACACACACACAATTCCACTTTATACACAAACACAGAGCCCCACTTTTCACTCACACACACACACATACACACACACAATTCCACTTTATACACAAACACACACAGAGCTCCACATTTCATTCACACACACACACACACACACATACACTGATTTCCACTTTTCTTTCTCTCTCTCAAACACACAGCTCCACTAGGGATGATTCCGTGACCCCAGATGGAATCTTCAGAGGCCAGTTGGCTGAGATCCTAACAGTGAGATCCATTCCCCACCAAGCTCGTGCTGAAGTCCCTGCGGACGAGGTCTGCGAGACCAGGGCTACTTAGGAGGAAAACAGCTTATGGGGTTTGCCAGTGAATTCTCCAAAGGCCTTTAAATAAAAGCAGAGAATACTCTAGTGAGGCTCTGACAGCTGTCACACTATGGATGAGGAAGTGGCTGCATGGGCAGTGCCCCTCCTTTCACTCCCAGAAACTCTCCTACAATCTCCCCTGCCCGGTGGTATCAATGAGATGATTACCTAATCCTCTTTCTTACTGTGGGTGATATACATAATGGCACTTCATGGTTTGACCCCCTGTTCCTCTATGGGCAGGAAAAAAAAAAGGTGAAATAATTTATTTGACCCACCACTGCAACCAATGAGGTGATCCGCAAACTCCCCCTCTAAGAAGTCTAGACGCAAAGTAAGCGCCTTCAGCTTCCTGCCCCTCGAGGAAAGTCCTACTTCCCTAACAGGCCCAGGAAAGGAGCTTCAAAGGCCCTTCAGCTTCACAATAAAAAAGATTTGGGGGTAAAAGCGGCATTAGCACCTATTTTTTTTCTTTCTGGGTCACGCCCGATGATGCATAGGGGATCTTCCTGGCTTTGCACTCAGGAATTACTCCTGGAGGTGCTTGGGGGACCATATGGGATGCTGGGAATTGAACCCGGGTCAGCCGCGTGCAAAGCAAATGCCCTACCCGCTGTGCTATGGCTCCAGCCCTGCGTTAGCACTTTATCTCTGTGGATTTTCAACTCCTAGTCCTATTCTCCTCATTACCCGTGAGGGCTATTGGCACATTCACATGAAAACGATTAGTGTCCAAAAGCTAAGATCAATAAAGCTAAGGGAATTTGTAGCTTTAAGGATCGTAGAATTATTAAATATTAAGGATAAAAGACCCAGGATACACTCTTAAAAATGTGTTCGCGACTGAATTACAGGTGTTACAATAAAAGATCTGGAAGGGGCTTGGGCGCACTGACTATGATCATATGATACCACACTGACAAACCGGTACTTCTCCATTTCCATCAACATTATTTTTTTCTTTATTGGGTCACATGCAGCAATGCACAGGGGTTACTCCTGGCTCTGCACTCAGGAATTACTCCTGGAGGTGTTTGGGGGACCACATGGGATGCTGGGAATCAAACCTGGGTCGGCCGCATGCAAGGCAAACGCCCTACCTGCTGTACTGTTGCTCCAGCCCCGTTCCCATCAACATTTTAAGTTGTTTTCTATTTCCAAGTTTTTCCTTAAAAGACATGCCTTTTCTGCAATTTATCTGCAGAAGCTGAATAGCCATGAAATACACAGAATTTTAAACCGAAATCTGAAGATTGATGCAAGTGCCTGGATAGTTGTTAGAGTCTGCACTTTACATTTCTAAAGGGTTCCAAAGCACAATGTTACTTTTTTTTTTTTTGCTTTTTGGGTCACACCCGGCGATGCTCAGGGGCTACTCCTGGCTCATGCACTCAGGAATTACTTCTGGCAGTGCTCAGGGGACCATATGGGATGCTGGGAATTGAACCTGTGTTGGCCATTTTGGCTGCGTGCAAGGCAAACGCCTACCCGCTGTGCTATCGCTCCAGCCCCCACAATGTCTTAACTAAAATTCTATTAGAGAAAGGAAGTTCACTCCTGCTGTATCAAATCAACTACAATGTGCTCTTTCGAGAAAGAAACTTTTTTTTAATTGGTATGATAGCCAAACCCAAATACATATATTTAAATTAAGCCTCCAAGCCAGGAGGGGCGAACGCATACCTATCTGTGGAAATTAGATGCAACAGTAAAATCAAGAACTTTGGGGGAAATTCCTTAGAAAAATGACAAAAGTAAGAAAGAGTCAGAAGAAACCCCGACGGCCCCATGAACGCGTTCATTTTTGCAGGAGCCCGCTCGGACGAACGGGGGCAGGCCAGGCTGAGGGCGTTGGCCCGGCGGCTTTGCACTCCTGTTTCAGGTGGCCGCATCCCGGGCTGGCTAGTTGGCCGCGATGGTCTTTTCTGCTGGGAGCTTCTCTTTGGGCCTGGAATAGTCCCACGGCCGCCGGTTCTCAGTAAAGCCATAGAGTTTCCGCAGGGCCACGCGGGCCGCCTCCTCTTCAGCCACCAGCACTGTCTCTCCAGGACCTTCTGCGATCAGCTGCTTGTCGCTGGAAAGGAAACCAAGAGCGCCTGAAACTCCACGAGGCACCGCACACCCGCCCTCCTCTCGGGCAGGATCCACAGGAAGGAACTGAACTGCTTTGGATGCGGCCTCCGGATCCCAACGTATTTGGAGGTCTGGCCAAACACATTTCTCTAAGCCCTTGGACGAAGAAGCATTCGCATTTCCAAAGGAACAAGCAGTCTACTAGAAGTTAACGCTTCTCAGGTCAAAACCGCAAGGCAAGACAGGTCTAAATACATAAATACATGCTGTGAGAGAACTGGAAGAATGTATTGAATCTTGTCATAAATACCTAAACTATTCTTTTTCCTTCATTTTGAAGCTTAACTTGAAAAAAGTAGTAACCTTGAGGAAAATGCTCTCTAGGCCTTTCGGGTCTATCATATAAACTTTGATTCATTTTTTAAATGTCACTGGCTTTTGGGCCACACCTAGCATTGCTCAGGGATCTCTCCCCAGGGCACCATATACAATACTGAGGAAGTGGTACATAATCATGGCATAATATATATATATATATATATATATATATATACACACACACACACATATATATATAAACACACATACACATAGATATGTGTATTTTATATATATATACACATATATATACATATATACACACACACACACATATACATACAGCGTATTCGATATGCCAAAAAACAGTAGCAAGCCTCACAATGGACACATTACTGGTGCCCCCTCGAGCAAATCAATGAACAATGGGAGGACAGTGCTACAGTGCAGTACTACATACATATAGATATGTGTGTATATATATATTTGTGTGTGTGTGTATATATGTATCTGTATGTGTGTGGTCGTGGCCACGCAACCTCTCATTCTCTAGTTCTTGCTCTCAGAGAACCCGGCAGGCTACTGAGAGTATCCTGCCCGCATATATGCCTGACTGGGAACACCTTTAAAGGTGATTAGAGGCCACCCCAAAAGCCTCCATCCCTCTCAGAGAGCCTGACAAGCTACCTAGAGTATCCCACCCGCATGGCAGAACCTGGCAAGCTACCCGTGGTGTACTCGATATACCAAAAACAGTAACAATGATGGTCCTCATTCCCCTGACCCTGAAAAAGCCCCCAATGTGTCATCAGGCTACATTAGCACGTGACAGGGATGAATGGAGACGTTACTGGAGCCCGCTTGAGCAAACTGATGAACAACGGGGTGAGATATATATATATATATACATAGGCTTTTGGGGTCACACCTGGTGATGCTCAGGGGTTACTCCTGGCTCTGCACTCAGGAATTACTCCTGGTGGTGCTCGGGGATGATATGGGATGCCAGGGATTGAACCTGGGTTGGCTGCATGCAAGGCAAATGCCCTACCCACTGTACTATTGCTCCAGCCCCGGCATGAGATATTTTTTTAAAAAATTTGTTGTCGTTTTGGATCACACCTCATGGTGCTCAGGGCTTACTGCTGGCTCTAGTGATTTCTACTCAGGAATCACTCCTGGAGGTGCTCGAGGGTCCATATGAGAACCCGGGAATTGAACCCACCTGCAAGGCCGCATGCCAGGCCAGAGCCTCACCCTCTGTACTATCACTCTGGCCCTTTAAACAATATTTTCGTGTCCTTAGAGGCCACATTAAGGGAGTGTGAAAGCCAGTCTGTAATCACTGGCTTGAAAGAAAGAGGAGAGTTGTACTAACCAGTAGAGCCCGACGAAATAGAGCGGCAGAGCTGTGGTGCCCCCTGACTGCCTGGTGAGGCGGGACTCGGGCGCCGGAAGCTTCCTGCGTGTCAGCTCCTCCCCCAGCAGGCCCATGGGGTTCGTCACCTTCCAGACCTCAAAGAGCTCCTTCCCGGTCAGCTGGGTGATCAAGAAATCCTGCAGACGAAAAAAAACGGATGAGACGTGTAACTTAGTCTAAGGGAAGGCAAAGATCACAATTCAAAGTCCACTTTCAAATTTAAAACTTAATAGGAAATTGGGGCTGGAGCGATAGCACAGCGGGTAGGGCATCTGCTTTGCCTGCGGTCAACCCGGGTTCGATTCCCAGCATCCCATATGGTCCCAGGAGCACCGCCAGGAGTAATTCCTGACTGCAGAACCAGGAGTAACCCCTGTGCATTGCTGGGTGTGACCCAAAAAGCAAAACAAAACAAAACAAAAAACAATAGGAAATTAAAAACAAAATATTATTCTCTCATTCCCAGTTTTTTCATATGTTTTTCATTGGCGGGGGAAGGGCGTTGAGGTCAAACCTGGCAGTGCCCAGAGCTCACTTCTCTGCTCAAGGATTATCCCTGGTGGGGTTCGGGAGGGGCTTATATGGTGCTGGGAATTCAGCCGGGGTCGGCTGCGTGTAAGGCAAATGTCCTGCCCACAATACTACCTGGCCCTTCACGTGAATGTTCTTACAAAAATCATAACTGACTGAAATTCTGCCTCCTGATTTAGAACTATGTTATCACTAAGATAAGCCTTTTTTTTTTTTTCCTAAACAAAATTTCAGGGGAGAGAGAGTATACCCAACAAGCGAGCCCGTGATTTGCAGGCTGGAGGCTAGTTCACCCCCACCAAGCACCAAAGTACTCCAACGCACAGATGGGTGCAGCTTCAGAGCACCACTGGGTGTAATCCAACAAAGGCAAAGATAAACAGAAAAAAAAAAAAAAGCACTCAGGGTTCCCGGATAACAACTTCATTGTCTAGTTTGGCATTTCTCAACCACAGGAGCTAAACAGACATTTGGCTGCCAGAATTTTCAAAGGGGACCACAGGTGGAAATGTCATAAATTGAGGCATACGGCATGGGACTAGGGGGTCAACCGGAAGGTGGAGGGGAGGGGGTCAGTACAGAGAGGAAAGGAGGTGAGAAGGGGCCAAGGTAGGGAAAGGGTTTAGAAATGCTGGTCGAGCTAAGGGTTAGGTTTTGGTTTTTGGCTTTGGAGCGGTAACACTCTGGGTGCTCAGAGACTACTCCTGGCTCTGTGCTCAGTCAAGACCCCTGGCAGGATGCTTGCAGGGGATATGCAGCATTGGGGATTAAACTGGTGCCAGATTCGAGCAATCCAAGTACCTCATCGCCTTTACTCTTTCTCTCTGGTCTCTAGTTCTCTATTTTCAAAAACCATTTAATAGCATGGGTTGGAGCGATAGCACAGCGGGTAAGGCGTTTGCCTTGCACATGGCCGACCCAGTCGGCCCAGGTTCGATTCCTCCGCCCCTCTCAGAGAGCCCAGCAAGCTACTGAGAGTATCTCGCCCGCAAGGCAAAGCCTGGCAAGCTACCCGTGACGTATTCCATATGCCAAACACAGTAACAAGAAGCCTCACAACGAAGAAGTTACTGGGCCTGCTTGAGCAAATTGATGAACAACGGGAGGACAGTGACAGTGCTAATAATGTCATATTAACTGTCCTTTAAAACTACTTATGATTGTGGAGTTCATGCCCAATTCAATCAGCTAATCAGTGGCTGAATAAATAGCAGTACTCCTACATTTGGAAAAAAAAACTACTTATGACTTTGGGGGGTCAGAGCAATAGTTCAGCAGAAAGAGTACTACTACCTTGCAAGCAGCCAACCAAGTTTGACCCCGTCATCCCACATGCTCCCCTGGGCTGCCAATAAGTAATCTCTGAGTGCAGAGTCAGGAGTCAGCCTTGAGTATTTCCAAGTGTGGCCCCTAATCGAAAAATAAAGTAAATGACTCATGACTTGATATCACTTTAATTTCTTAAGACCAAGAAAATTAACACAAATTATAAACATTCAAAGCAGAAAAGAAGGGGCTGGAGCGATAGCACAGCGGGTAGGGCATTTGCCTTGCATGCGGCTGACCCGAGTTCGATTCCCAGCATCCCATATGGTCCCCTGAGCACCGCCAGGAGTAATTCTTGAGTGCAGAGCCAGGAGTAACTCCTGTGCATCGCCGGGTGTGACCCAAAAAGTTTAAAAAAAAATATTTAAAAAAAAATTTTAAAAAATAAGCAGAAAAGAATTCTCCAAATAAAAAAAATTCTTTGAAAAACAAATTCTGTGTTGTGTGGGACACACAGGAATATGAATTTTCAAAACAATATACTGCTACTGACTCAATTTAACAAACACATGTAGAATCAGCTAACAGGATGGGGAAACGGAACCTAAGAGGTTTTTTTTTTTTTAAATCACTGTATCACTGTCACACTGTCATCCTATTGTTCATCGATTTCCTCAAGCAGGCACCAGTCGCGTCTCCTTCATCCTAGCCTTGTGATTTTAGAAAGTGCCACATTCGAGGCTCTTTCAGGGTCAGGAGAATGAGACCCATCATTGTTACTGGGTTTTGGCATATTGAACACGCCACAGGGAGTTTATCCGACTCTGCTGTGCAGGCAAGACACTTTTGGTAGCCTGCCAGGTTCTCCAGAGTAAGAATTAGATAATAAGATGTTGCGCGGCCGCAAATGCAGCCGCGCTTCCAGGAACTGGGTTTTATAGTCTCTGGGTCTTGGCCGGTTGATGGGATTACACAGTGCCGGGGGCAGTTGGTGTGTGTAATGCCTATTATATTATTTTTTAAAGAATTAATTTAAAAAACCAAAACCAGATAAAAATTCCTTAGCTTATGTAATATAGTCAAATTTCATTACACTTCCCCAAGCGCCAGAACTCTATTTCAGTTTTGTTTATAAAAAAAAGTAAGTCCGTTCTCAACAGGGAGTTTGAGTCTTTCAATAGCCAGAAACAGAATGTATTATGAGACAGATACTAAGCCATGCAGAAAACCAACTGAAGAGTAAAGCAACAGCCATTCTAATGCCTAAGGAATTAATAGGATACATATAGAACAAAATCTCAGTTACGCTAGGTAATTACCTCTGCCTCTGCAAAACCATTTCCTATGGGTTCCTGTCTCTCTACTTTACTACTAGAACTTTCTATAAGGTGTGGGTTGAATATTCCAATTTCATCTCCCTAGAACATGGAGGCTCTTTAAAGAAATATCTCTAAAATGCGTATTTGATTACAGAGATCGTTTTAAACTGCATCAGCTGGGGCCAGGAATACAGCTCAAAGGGCTGGAGCACAAGCTTTATGTGCAGAAAACCTGGGCTTAAGGGATCACAGAGATGGTACAGCAGGTAGGGCATTTGCCTTGCACGTGGTCGACCTGGGTTTGGTCCCCGGCGCCCCATATGGTCTGCAGAGCATCCCCAGGAGTGATCCCTGAGTGCAGAGTCAGGAACCTGGGCTCCATCCCTAGGAACACACAGTCTCGAGAGTATCACTAATGAGTGATGCCCATTAAGTGTGGGCCCCCAAAAAACCCAAACTCCTGCAGCTGTCTCCACATGAGGCTGTAGAACCTCAAAAGTATAGACTCCCTAACAGTACAAACAGGCCTGCTCATATTTTAGATGCAGATTCCTAGGAACGTCTCCCAGGTATCCTGGTTCAGTAGCCTGAAGAGATGCTAACGTTGACAGCAATCAGGTTCTGAGGAGCACGGGCTTAGAGAGCATCCTTGGGCCCGGCTGGTGCGGCGGGGACTGTGATCGCCTTAGAGGCAGGTGACCCAAGTGTGATTCCTGTTGCTCTGTATGATCCCCTGAGCACCACCAGGTATGATCCCTGAGTGCAGAACTAGGAGTAATACCTGAGCACCAGCAAAATGTCTGGCCCAAAAGTCAAACAAAGAAATAATCGTCTCTGAGCTGAAAGTAGACTACAGACCAAACATGATTGCCACCCATTGCCTCTTTTGCAAACCACGACACCCAATAGGAGAGAGAGAACAAAAGGGAATGCCCTGTCACAGAGGCAGGGTGAGTTGGGGGGACGGGGGGTGGGAGGGATACTGGGACCCGTGGTGGTGGGAAATGGGCACTGGTGGAGGGATGGGTACTTGATTATTGTATAATTGAAACCCAAGCACAAAAATGTGTAAGTCTACAACTGTACCTCATGGTGTCTCACTAATAACAACAACAAACTGCCCTCCCGTTGTTCATCGATTTGCTCGAGCGGGCCCAGTAACGTCTCCATTGTGAGACTTCTTGTTACTGTGTTTGGCATATTGAATACTCTTGGTAGCTTGCCAGGCTCTCCAAGAGGGGCGGAGGAATCGAACCCGGCTCGGCCTGGAGCAATAGCACAGTGGTAGGGTGTCTGCCTTACACGCAGCCAACCTGGTTGAGTCAGGTTCGATTCCTCCGCCCCTCTTAGAGAGCCTGGCAAGCTACTGAGAGTATTCAATATGCCAAACACAGTAACAAGAAATCTCACAATGGAGACGTTACTGGGCCCGCTCGAGCAAATAGATGAACAACGGGAGGACAGCTCTGTCCCTGTTTATAGTTGTCACAAACTAATAAAAATTTAAAAAATAAATAAAATGAAATAAAATTTATGTCCACACCAAAAAAAAAAATTAAAAAAATAATCGTCTCTTATACAGTCTTAAAGGTCCAGACTCACCCACCGTGACTCCCCTAAAGACAACAGAAACTGGGTCGCCAGTCACAAACCCATCCCCGAGGCTCCTTCCTGGAACGCATCTGGAAAACCTCTCTTCTGTAAAATCTCCCCAGCCCTCCTAGAGCGGATGGCTGCCCCCGCGGACTCCCACCGTCCCTTCAACCTCCCGTGGGAGCACCCCGCCACGTTCCACTCTGTCTGCCTCATGCGCTGCAACCAAACACTGTTTCTAGACACTTGGAGACTCCAGTCTGGGGGAAACGAAGGCGACAGGCAGGCAAAGACAGAACTGACTGAGAGGCAAGAGGATTGCAAAAGCAGCTCGCGGGCTGACCTCTGTCTAACGCCAGGCACAAAAGTCAGATCAAAGTGGAGGAAAGACCTCGATATCAGACCTGAAGCCATAAGGTACATGGAGGGAAATGTAGGCAGAACCCTCTGTGATATTGAAGCTAAAGGAATCTTCAAGGATGAAACACCACTGACCAAGCAAGTGGAGACAAACATAAACAAATGGGACTACATTAAACTAAGAAGCTTCTGCACCTCAAAAGAAACAGTGAGGTGCAGAATTGACTTAGTGATCAACTCTAAGAGAAATTCAGAGAGAGCCCACAGAATGGGAAAGAGTATTTACCCAATAACCACCTGGTAAGGGTTTAATATCCAGGATATACAAGACACTAGTAGAATTGTACAAGAAAAAGCCTACACCCTCATCCAAAAAATGGGGAGAAGAAATGAACAGAAGCTTCCTCAAAAAAGGCTAAAAGGCACATGAAAAATTCTCTATATCACTTATCATCAGGGAGATGTAAATCAAAACAACAATGAGATATTGAGATATCATCTCACACCACAGACTGGCCCACATCAAAAAGAATAAGAATAACCAGTGCTGGGGTGGATTAATTGTTGGGTGGAGAAATTGTTGGTGGGAATGCCGACTGGTCCAGCCTTTTTTGGGAAACAATATGGGCATTCCTTCAAAAACCAGACATTGAAGGACTGGAGCACAGCGGGTAGGGCGTTTGCCTTGCACACAGCAGAACTGGGTTCGATCCCCGGCATCCCATATGGTCCCCTGAGCACCGCCAGGGGTAATTCCGGAGTGCATTAGCCAGGAGTGACCCCTCTGCACTGCTGGGTGTGACACAAAAAGGAAAAAAAAAAAACTAGGGCTGGAGCAATAGTACAGCGGGTAGGGCATTTGCCTTGCACGCAGCTGACCCAGGTTCAATTCCCAGCATCCCATATGGTCCCCTGAGTACCGCCAGGGGTGATCCCTGAGTGCAGAGCCAGCAGTAACCCCTGGGCATCGCCAGGTGTGACCCAAAAAACAAAACAAACAAACAAACAAAAAAACTAGAAATTGAGTTTCCATATGACCCCGCAATACCACTTTTGGGAATATATCCCGAAGGTACAAAAAACCACAGCAGAAATGACATCTGCTCCTGTATGTTCATTGCACCACTGCTCACAACAGCCAGAATCTGGAAACAACCCGAGTGCCCGAGAATAGATAACTGGTTAAAGAAACTTTGGTACATCTGCACAATGGAATACTATGCAGCTGTTAGGAGAGATGAAGTCATGAAATTTGCTTACAAGTGGATGGCCATGGAGAGTATCATGCTAAGTGAAATGAGTCAGAAAGAGAGGGACAGACATGGGACGAATGCACTCATTTGTGGAATATAAAACAACATGAGACTGACACCCAAGGACAGTAGAGAGAAGGGCCAGGCAGATTGCCTGGTTGGAAGCCTGCCTCATGAGCTGGGGGGAGAAGGCAGCTGGAATAGAGAAGGGATCACTAAGTCAATGATGGTTGAAGGGCTAGTTCGGGATGAGAGATGCATGCTGAAAGCAGATAAAGGACCAAACGTGATAGCCTCTCAGTATCTATACTGCAAACCATAATAATGCCCGAAAGTGGAGAGAGAGGAAACTGCCATAGAGGTGGGGGTTGGGGGCTGAATACTGGGGACATTGGTGGTAGAAAATGTGCATTGGTGGAGGGACACGTGTTCGTCATTATATGGCTGAAATTCAAACATGAAAGCTTTGTAACTGTATCTCACAGTGATTCAATAGAACAAAATCACGACGAATCACGACCATCTTGTTATTCGTCGATTGCCTCGAGCAGGCCCCAGTAACGTCTCTTTCATCCTAGCCCTGAGATTATATTCAAGGCTCTTTAGGAGAATGAGACCCATCATTGTTACTGGTGTTTGGCATATTGGGTATGCCACGGGGATAAATTAAATAATTAAAAAAAAAAAAAGAGCAGCCTGCAGGAGTGGGCTGGCACATCCCAGATGTAGCAATCCTTGACACCCACAGTGGAATTCACAGGATGTGAATGCCACTGTTTGTCCTTCTGGGTTTGGGGCCACACCTGGTGGTGTGCTCAGGGCTTACTCCTGATTCTGTTCTCAGATTTCACATCTGGTGGCCAAAGGAGGTTTGATCCATATGCGGTGCTGGGGATCAAACCTGGGTCTGCCACATGTAAGGCAAACGTTTTACCCCTATACTATCTCGCTGGCCCCTAGGAATGCCATTCTTAAAGAACTCCTATCTAGAAAACCAGAACTTGAAAAAGGGAAGAAGCAGCCAACACCCAGGACAAAGGTCTAGATCAAGACTGTTTTCCATCTTAAACTGACAAGTGAACTTTCCATTAACGTGGCCGTGACCAAAAACCTCATCTCTTTATCCAATAGCAGAGAATAAAAATTCAAATGAAAAACTCAAAGCCCAGTGGGAGGAATTCCACTGAATACTTAAGCATTTTCACGATTTTTGTTGTTGTTGTTGTTGTTTCTTCACACCTGGCTGTGCTCAGGAGACCATCTGCAGTTCCAGGTACCGAACCCAGGTTGGCTGTGAGCAAGGCAAACGCCTTACCTGCTACCTCTCTCTCTGACCCTTAAATATTTTAATTGGCTAAGCTACTGGCTAACGAAGAGTTACACCGGGACTGAAATCCAAAATTTCCTCACTTGGGAGACCACAGGGGTCACCAGTCCTTGGTCACAAATTCCCTTAAGCTCCCACAAACAGTCCTCAAATAGCCCTTTGCCCTCACTCATTCACTGCACCTGACAGAGGGCCTGCCCTGCAGGTACAATCAGAGGAGTTCAGGTGTCAAGATAAAAAACACAACTCCTGGGCTGAAGCGAAAGAACAGTGGGTAGGGCGTTTGCCTTGCACGCGGCCGACCTGGGTTCAATTCCCAGCATCCCAGATGGTCCCCTGAGCACCGCGAGGAGTAATTCCTGAGTGCAGAGCCAGGAGTAACCCCTGGCAGGTATGACCCAAAAAGAAAAAAAAAAAAAGAGATATGACTCCCCAGTGCTCTGCACTCAGCACCCAGAATTGAACCTTCACCCCTGACAACGGCCTCAAGGACAAAAGACAACCAGGAGAACTAAGCCACTATCACCAAAGAGCATCTGGTAGGGCCCAGTTTGGGAGGAAAAAAGTCACACGTAATGGGGCCGGAGCGATAGTACAGCGGGTAGGTTGTTTGCCTTGCATGCCGCTTACCCAGGTTCGATCCCCGGCATCCCATATGGTCCCCCGAGCACCGCCCGGAGTAATTCCTGAGCGCAGAGCCAGTAGTATCCCCTGTGCATTGCTGGGTGTGACCCAAAAAGAAAAAAAAAAAAAGCCACACGTCGGCCTTGCAGGGTGGTACTGGAAGAAATGCTCTCCAAGGGTTTCCTGCCAGCCACCTCGTACAGCGGCCAGCCAGGAAGGTGCAGTCGGTGATCTCTGCTATGACTTACCCGGATGAAAAGCGTGGCCCGCTCAGGCCCACTGCTCTGCAACAGTGCGCCAATGACGGCAAAGAAGGTCCTCTGCAACACGACCGGGGGTACGGGGAACTCGGCGCTTAGCGTGAGCTGCTCCACGGCCAAGTTCCTGGCCACGTGACACACCACCTCCTCTCCCGTGAGGAAGGCCACCAGGCTCTGGACACCTTCCGGGGGCAAGGACGGGTAGGCATCCCCCAGCATCTGGGAGAGGCAAGTCTGCGAGAAGGCGGCGCCCTGCTCGGCCAGCTCCCGGTTGTCCTGGAGATTCAGGGCGGCCGCGGCCTTGTCCACGCCCAGCTCCTGGCGCCGGGCTTCCTCGCTTTGAATGTAGCAGCTGTTCACAAAGGCCGTTTTGAGGAGCTCCAAGGAAAAGGTTTCCTGCAGCCGAGGTCCGAAGGCCTGGATCTCGGCGTGGTAATCCCAGTTGGGCTTCTCGGAACTGAAACCAGGAACCCAGAGACGGGAGGTGAAGTTAGAGAAGAAACCAGGTGTTATCATCACTGAAAATGTTCTCCATGTGGGGCTGGAGCGATAGCACAGCGGGTAGGCGTTTGCCTTGCACGCAGCCAACATGGGCAACCCAGGTTCGATTCCCAGCATCCCATATGGTCCCCCGAGCACCGCCAGGAGTAATTCCTGAGTGCATGAGCCAGGAGTAACCCCTGAGCATCGCCGGGTGTGACCCCCCCCCAAAAAAAAAAGCAAAAAGAAAATGTTCTCCATGTAAGGCAGTTTTATTCGTTTATTTAATGCATCACTGTCACTGTCCTCCCGTTGTTCCTCGATTTGCTCCAGCGGGCACCAGCAACATCTCCATTGTGACACTTGTTGTTACTGGGTTTTGCATATCGAATACCTCACGGGGAGCTTGCCAGGCTTTGCACTGTGGGTGGGATACTCTCGGCAGCTTGCCGGGCTCTCCGAGAGGGGCGGAGGAATCAAACTCCGGTTGACCTAGTCGGCCGCGTGCAAGGCAAACGCCCTACACACTGCGCTATCGCTCCTGCCCATTTAATGCATAGAACAAGAGTTAATTAGTTTATTTAATGCATAAACAAGATTGAGTTTTATGTTATTTGGGGGTTTTGTGGGGTTTTTTTTTGGGGGGGGGCCTGCATCCCCAGCTGTGCTCAGGACTTACTCCTGGCACCACTCCTGGCAGGCTTGGGAACCATAAAGGTGCTGGGGATCAAACATGGGTCAGGCACATGCAAGGCAAGCACCCAATCTGCTGTACTATCTCTCTGGTCCCTGCTATTTTATTATTATTATTATTATTATTTTAGATTTTTGGGTCACACCTGGCATTGCTCAGGGGTTACTCCTGGCTCTGCAATCAGGATTTACTCCTGGCGGTACTCAGGGGACCATATGGGATGCTGGGGATTGAACCCGGGTCAGCTGTGTTTAAGGTGAACGCCCTACCGGCTGTACTAACTCTCCAGCCCCCACTATTTTATTTTAATACCAGAATCTGATCTTCAAGATGTAAAAACTGAGGTCATGTGACTCTGTGCTTCTTCACTATAAACAGCGAATTCGTTTTCCTGTTGAGCCCAACGGCCTCCATAAGAGTAGTTCTGCTTGAAAAGATTAAACCACTGTCCTAATGTTTAGATTCCTTATTTCTCTCTCTAGAAACTATTCTACCCAAGCATGAAAAAGCAAAGTTTCACAGATTCTGCACAGAAACAACACTCTATTTCTTTCGTGGGTTTGTTTGCAAAGCATCCAGTTAAATATCAAACAACCTCCCATCAATATAATGGGTTAAAATAATCATCCCCAAGAATAGACTAAAAGATCTCATGACCACGATTATTACTATTGCTGCTGCTGCTGCTAGTGTTCCTTTGGCCACACCCCAGCTAGGTGCCCAGATGTCACTTCTGATGGTACTTTGGGGACTAGACAATGCTCAGAGTCCAACATACAAGGCAAGTGTTCCACCACTGAGCCAGGTCTTTGGGGGCAGGGCGCGGTGGTAGCTAAAAAGACAATTCAAAATAAAACTTCTAGAGGTCAGCATAAGTCAGAGAGAGTATACAAGTAAGTCACTTGCCTTGCCTGAAGTCAATGCAACAGTGATCCCTGGCACCCCAGGTGTACCCAGCACCTCAGGAGAGACCCCCGAGCACGATATCGGAGCCAAAGACCTTAGCACCCTAGGATATGCCCACCCAACCCCAAATCCAAAATAAAAGGGGCAACAAAGAAAGTATAAAGATCTGGGTTTAAATGCACATGCCAAGGGCCCAAGCACTTGCCTTGCACACACCTGACCCGGTTAGATGGCCAGCACCCCCCAACGGTCCCCAGGGCCCTGGAGACTGAGCACAGAGCCCAGAGTAAGTCCTGAACACTGCCGGGCATGGTAAAAAGCAAATCCCTTTTATCCGCATGCAATAAACCACAAAGTTCTTAGACCTAAAATTACAAACCACGAAAGCCTCAGAGGACTGAGTTCGCAAGCATCAAAGAAAGATTGCAGCTGCTATTTTTGCTTATTAGAGAAAAACATAAAGTTCTGTATGGAAAGCATTATAAATTTCTATTCCTACAGGCACGTATGAAACCATCTTTTTTCTTTTCTTTTGTGGGGAGGGAGGGGATAATATTGAAGTAGCCATCAAAATCTATTACTCAATTTTCCCAAAGGATTGATGACTGCGGGGGTCCCATTCCCCGTTATATGGAGTTGTCACAGCAATAATACTGGTATGCAAACCAAATAATACTGGCATGCAATAAAATTGCCATGCAAACCAAATAATACTGTCATGCAATTATACTGCCATGCAAACCAAGTAATGCTGTCATGCAGTAATACTGCCATGCAAACCAAGTAATGCTGGCATGCAGTAATACTGCCATGCAAACCAAGTAATGCTGGCATGCAATAATACTGCCCTGCAAACCAAGTAATGCTGTCATGCAGTAATACTGCCATGCAAACCAAGTAATGCTGGCATGCAATAATACTGCCATACAAACCAAGTAATGCTGGTATGCAATAATAAGGTAAAGGCCCTCCCGTTGATCGTCGATTTGCTCGAGCGGGCCCAGTAACGTCTCCATTGGAGACTTTGTTGTTACTGTGTCTGGCATATCGAATACTCTCGGTAGCTTGCCGGGCTCTCCGAGAGGGGCGGAGGACTCGAACTCGGGTTTGCCATGTTGGCCGCTTGTAAGGCGAACGCCCTACCCGCTGTGCTATCGCTCCAGCCCAAGGTAAAGGCCCTCCCGTTGATCGTCGATTTGCTCGAGCGGGCCCAGTAACGTCTCCATTGGAGACTTTGTTGTTACTGTGTCTGGCATATCGAATACTCAATATGCAATAATACTGCCATGCAAATAATACTGGCATGCAATAATACTGCCATGCAAACCAAATAATACAGTCATGCAATTATACTGCCATGCAAACCAAGTAATGCTGGTATGCAATAATACTGCCATGCAAACAAAATAATACTGGCATGCAATAATACTGGCATGCAAACCAAATAATATTGGCATGCAATAATACTGCCATGCAAACCAAATAATACTGGCATGCAAACAATACTGGCATGCAAAACCAAGTAATACTGGCATGCAAACCAAATAATACTGGCATGCAATAATGCTGGCATGCAAACCCCCTAGACCGAGCTGTCAAAGAAACGGGCGCGAATTGCTGTGCACCGCCACGAAGGGTGGGCAGCGGGCACCTCCGGGAAGAAGGAAAGGCGGCCAAGAACGCCTGAGGTGGGCAGCGAGGACGCTGGGAAGCAGCCCCGCTCGGCCCGGCAGCCGGGCTCCCGCCAAGCCCGACCCCGCAGAACGTATCTCTCTCCCCGGGGCTCGGCCGCGGGTCCCGCTCCTTCCTACCGGCGCACGGGCGGCGGCGGGCAGCGCTGCAGGCGCCAGCGCTCCAGCTCCTTCTGGAAGCGGAAGGCGGCGCGGAAGCCCTTCTTCACCCCGCGCACCGGCGGGGACAGCTTGGGGGCCGCGGGGGCCAGCAGGCCGCGAGGCCCCAGCAGCAGCAACCTGGCCAGCCCCGCAGCCATGCCGGCGGAAAGAGCAACGGGCAGCGGAAGGCGCCGGGAAGGACGGGTGTCGCGGCGACACCGCGCCCCCGGAATCCGAGGGCCGGATCGCGCCGAGGCCCCCGGAACTGAGATGGGGGCGTGTCTGGGGCGTTACCAGGGCGTGGCTAAAGGCGAGAATGGGCCCGAAGCATGGCCAAAGCTAGATCAGGGGCGTGGTTAGGGCGGGGCCGGGGTTGGGAGCGTGGCCAACGCTAGATCGGGGGCGGGGGCGAGGCGGGGCCAGGGCTGGGAGCGTAGTAGGAGCTAGCTTGGGGGCGTGGTCAGGGCGGGGCTGAGGCGGGGCCAGAGCACGGTGGGCGCGGAGGCCGCCGCTTGAATTGGTGGTGGGTGGGTCTTGCACACAAGCTAGCATGGCTGAGATTAGTACCAGGAATTTTGCTCCATGAATGGAAGGCCAGCCACAGGCTCTAGGTGAAAAGGAAGCTCAGATAGAGAAGAGAGTACCAAATGAAGGGTGTTGTGAGGGCCCTCCCAGGGTGGGAAAAGCATGCTAAAAGTAGTCTATAGACCAAACATGATTGCCACTCAAAGCCTCTCTTGCAAAACACAGTACCCAAAAGAAGAGAGAGAGAACAAGGGGGAATACCCTGCCACAGAGGCAGGATGGGGGGGTGGGGGGGGATGCTGGGACCCGTGGGGATGGATGACGGGCACTGGTGGAGGGATGGGCACTTGATCATTGTATAACTGAAACCCAAGCACAAAATTTGTAAGCCTATAACTGTACCTCATATTTTTTCACTAATAAAAAAAGAAAAATTAAAAAAATAAAAATTAAAAAAGGTAAAGGTAAAGGTAAAGGCCCTCCCGTTGATCGTCGATTTGCTCGAGCGGGCCCAGTAACGTCTCCATTGGAGACTTTGTTGTTACTGTGTCTGGCATATCGAATACTCTCGGTAGCTTGCCGGGCTCTCCGAGAGGGGCGGAGGAATCGAACTCGGGTCGGCCATGTTGGCCGCTTGTAAGGCGAACGCCCTACCCGCTGTGCTATTAAAAAAATAATAAAAAAAAAAAGAATTAAGCTTTCAACATGCAGCTCGCATCCTGGGCACAGGTGGAGGGATGGGTACTCGATCATTGTATAACTGAAACCCAAGAATAAAAATTTGTAGGTCTACAACTGTACCTCATGGTGTTTCACTAATAAAAATTTTTAAAAAAGAAAAAAGAATTAAGCTTTACAGGCTGGAACTGTAACTAAGTAGTAGTAATCTCTTTTTTTTTTTAATGTAGGAGTACTGCTATTTATTCAGCCATTGATTAAACTGATTGAATTGGACATGAACTCCACTGTATCACTGTATCACTGTCATCCTGTTGGTTATCGATTGCCTCAAGCAGGCCCCAGTAACATCTCCTTCGTCTTAGCCCTGAGATTTTAAAAAGTGCCACATTCGAGGCTCTTTCAGGGTCAGGAGAATGAGACCCATCATTGTTTCTGATTTTGGGCACACTGAATACACCACCCGAGTTCAATTCCTCTGCACCTTTCAGAGAGCCCTGCAAGCTACAGAGAGTATCTCGCCCGCACAGCAGAGCCTGGCAAGCTACCCGTGACGTATTCAATGTGCCAAACACAGTAACAACAAGTCTCATGATGGAGACGTTACTGGGCCCGCTCGAGCAAATCAATGAACAACGGGAGGACCGGGACCGTCACCGAATATGCCACGGGGAGTTTGCCAGACTATGCTGTGTGGGCAGGATACTTTTGGTAGCCTGCCAGGTTCTCCAGAGTAAGCCCTAGATAAAAACCCTGCTTCTGGGAGCAGGGTTTTATAGTCTCTGGGTCTTGGCCATTGATGGGATTACATGGTGCCAGGGGCAGTTGGTGGGTGTAACGCCTACATACTGGAAGATGGGGGATCTGGGTGGAGGAGGCCCAGTCCCAATCCGAGCAGGCTTGGAGATCTATGCCCCGGGTCCTGCACACCTGCGTTCTTCTGCCAGTTTCTTCATGCATGAGGCTCATCCGAATGTGTGGAAAGTGGTCTTAAGCATGGCTGTGGCTGGAACTGGAGGTCTTCAGCTGCCGGGGCTCTGCTCGGGGTGGGAAGGGAAACTCAACTCACCCTCCTCCAAGGATAAACTCCACATTACTTTTTTTAAAAATTCAGAATAGTAATTTCTTATACAAGGGTTTAATGGCTCCAGGGTGAGACACAACCTTTGTACACTTTCCTCTAAGGAAACTTTTTTGGTTCAATTTTTTAGCAGATTATTCATAACAAGCAACATGAACTAAATTATTTAGGACCTGCTTTGGGAGCAGGCTTGGGTGGTGGTGGGAAAGTGTAGTGGTGGTGGTGGTTGGTGTTGGAATATTGAATGTAATAAATTATTGTGAACAGCAATAATAAAATAAATAAAACAGTATAAAATGCAAAAGAATTACTCTCTACTTTTTCTTTTTTGAGTTTTTTTGTTGTTACTGTTGTTCTTTGGCCACTCCTGGCAATACTCAGGGGTTACTCCTGGGTCTGCATTCAGGAATTATTCCTGGTGGTGCTTGGGGGACCATATGAGATCCTGGGGATCCAACCCAAGTGGGCCGCATGCAAGGTAAGCACCCTGCATTTTTATTTATGAATCTTCTTTATTGTTTGTTTGGGACAATCCTCAGCAGCTACTTCTGACTCTGCACTCGGGAATTACTCCTGGCAGTGCTCAGGGGACCAAATGGAATACCGGGAATCAAACGCACGTCAGCCACATGCAAGACAAGAGCCCTATCCATTGTACTCTTGCTCTGGCCCCTGGAGCTAAAATTCTGAGAAGTTGCTTTATCTTGTCAATTGCTCTTCTGTTCCTTCCTTTTTCATTAAAAAAAAAAAAGCAAAAAACAAACACAAAAGTCCAATTCACTGCTTTAAAAAATATAAATGGTACCGGGCAGGAAAAAACTAGACCACTATTTCATACATTAATGGGTACAAAAATTAATGCAAAATGAATTAAAGACGTATGAGATCAGAAATCATAAAGGACAGAGAAGAAATTACAGGCAAAGTGCTCCACAACAATGACTCCATTGTTGTCTCTGGGGACTTCTAACAAGGAAAACAAAATTAAAAATATACAATTGAGACAATATAATCAAGCAGAACACTTTAAAACAGCAAAAGATACCATCAGTAAAGGAAAAGACAGCATTGAGGAAATATTGATACTCAAAGAGCCAAAAGGGCTGATACCTGATTTGTATGAAGAACTTAAAAAACTCAAACAACAAAAAATAACACATATTTAAATGATCAGAAAAGATAAACAGGCACTTCGTCAAAGACATAGGTAAACAACATACACATTCCAAAAGTGCTCATCATCACTTGCGTCAGAGAAATGCAAATCAGAACCACAATGAGATGTGGCATCACATTTGAGACTGGTATTTAGCACAAAGTCCTAAGCCAATTGTTGATAACGCTGCAGAAAAATGGAGCCCTTGTACATTGCTGGGAATGCAACTGGTCTAGAGTCTTTGGAAATCAGTGAAGTCTTTTTTTCTAGATACTAAAAGCACATTTATTGTGCCAGTGTGCAATTATATTGTTGTCTATAGCAAGTCTAACTCGAGACTATAAAAGCACTAGTTCAAAATGACATTCCCTCTACTGGTTAAAGAAACTTTGGTACATTTACACAATGAAGTATTATGTAGCTGTTAGAAAAGATGAAGTCATGAAATTTACATACAAGTGGTACTACATGGAAAGTATCATGTTAAGCGAAATGAGTCAGAAAGAGAAGGATAGACATAGAAAGATTGCATTCATCTGGGGAACATAAAGTAACAAAATAGGAGATTGACACCCAAGAGAGGCCGAGATTAGTACCAGGAATTTTGCTCCATGGCTTGGAGGCCAGCCACACATGCTAGGGGAAAAGGGAGCTCAGATAGAGAAGGGAACACCAAATAAAGGATGTTGGGAGGATCCTCCCAGGATGGGAGAAGCATGCTGAAAGTAGACTATAGACCAAACATGATTGCCACTCGATGCCTCTTTTGCAAACCACAACACCCAGTAAGAGAGAGAGAGCAAAAGGGAATGCCCTGCCACAGAGGCAGGGTGGGATGGGGAGGATGGGGGGGTGGGAGGGATACTGGGATCCGTGGTGGTGGGAAATGGGCACTGGTGGAGGGATGGGTATTTGATCATTGTATAATTGAAACCCAAGCACAAAATTTGTAAGTCTACAAATACCTCATGGTGTCTCACTAATAAAAAAAAATTATAAGATGCCAGAGAATGTGAACTATGGTGGCCACTATGAAAAACAGTGTAAGAATTCTTTAAAAATTAAAATAAAAGTACCATGCGATTCACAAAAGAAAAAAAATGACATTCCCTCACTGGGCAATGCTATTTACAAATAGTCAGGCTATGGGAACAGCCCAGATGTCCAGTGACTAATGGGTGGTTAAAGAAGAGGTGATCAGGTCTTGGAGTGATAGCACAGTGGGTAGAGTGTTTGCACGCAGCCGACCCGGGTTCTATTCCCAGCATCCCATATGGTCCCCCGAGCACCGCCAGGAGTAATTCCTGAGTGCATGAGCTAGTAATAACCCCTGTGCATAGCCAGGTGTGACCCAAAAAAAGAAGAGGTGATCTTGGGACTGGAGCCATAGTACAGCAGGCAGGGTCCTTTCTTTGCATGCTGACAACCAGGATTTTATCCCCAGCACCCCACTAAGGTCTTCTGAGTCACATCAGGCGTGATCCCCATGCACAGAGCCAGGAGTAAGCCCTAAGCACTACTGGGTGTGCCAAAATATATGTGCTGTCTATACAGCACACACACACAGTGGAATATTATTCAACTATAACAAAAGATGAGATATGGCCTTCTTTTTTTTTACAACATGAATGGAGCTAGAGAAAATACCGCGGCGCAAAGTCAGAATGAGAAAGTCGAATAGTAGTGATCACAATTTGTGCATAGAATAGAGAGAAGCAAAGCAAGGGAGCAGACAAAGCCAGTCCAAAACCAGGCTCGTGGAGCGATAGTACAGTGGGTAAGGCATCTTCCTTGCATG